TATAACTATTTTCACCTTAGTCCAGGAACAAATTTGATAGAAACCACACGACCAACAAACCCAGAGGATACAGTATTTTGTTCTCTGTCCCTGGAGAAGGGAAGTGGGTGTCCACCCACTGAGATGTTAGAACTGTAGCTGGAGATGGTGCTGCTTTCTGAGACCTGGAACATGTTGCAGCTCCGTGAGATGTGGCCTGACACGCTCAGTTCTGCCTCTGGCTTGCAGGGGGAGAGTGTGTCGCTGGAGGGCGTGCAGAATGCCGGGGTCTGAGGAGCAGCAGCTGCTTTTGCTGGCTTTTTTAGTGCAGATAATAAAATAGCTTGGAGAGTATCACATGAGATTGAATCCTTCTATAGAAAATGCTGCCCCTTGGGGTACTGCCAAGCTTTATCTATCCCAAGTGTTTTTCTACTCAGTTAATTTTTTCTCCTTCTCTCTTTCATTTTTGTTGAAGAAATAGAAGAACCAATCTAGATTGAATAAAAATTGACCTAAATGCTCATTAGAACACAAGCTTTCTAGTCGATCTTCAGATATATTTTATTTACACAGAAACCACAGTAATTCCCTCCTTATACTATAGCCCAAGGGCATGGATAAATTCAGGACCTGGGCTCAAGAAAGTGTTCCCAGGCAAATGGGGAGAGAGGGACATGCAGAGCTGTTAGGAGCGATGCTTCTCAACAGTTGTTTCTAAAATTTTTATACAACAGATGCTTTACCTCAGCCAGAAACTGTTCTTTTGTTTATGTTTGTTTTCTCATCTTAGTAGAAATTCAATTTACAGGTTATTTTTTAAAACCCTCTGGTATTTCAGTGTTGAAAAGTAATGTTTCAGGAAGAAGTTTTCCCAGGTGAATCTCAGATTTTCCCTCTTCTAGTAACTAGCAGGCCCAACTGGATACACTAGAATGTTGATTCTATGAAAACTGGATAGTTGATGCATAGAACACATCTATGGGCAAGGTAATCTGTTGGACTGCATATTGACAGAATGAGTGTGTAAAGTTTCACCAATAACCTAAAATATTTTAGCATTACTAGTAGTCTAGAAAATTCTGACAGAAGTCTTAAAATTAACTTAAACTCTTTTTAGTGGTATTTTAAAAATTATTAAATTATTTGTGAGGGAGAGTGAGGGCAATGAGAAAGAGAGTGATTCCCATCTCAAATGACAATGGCTGGCTGGGCTGGGCTGGGTTTGGCCAGGCTAAAGCCAGCAACCAGGAACTCAGTGTAGCCCCCATGTATGTGGCAGGATCCCAACCACTTGAGCCATCACCAGTGTCGCCTAGAGTCTGCATTAGCAGGAGGCTGGAGTCAGGATGAGGCTCTCTGATACAGGATGCAGGTGTTTCAGCCAACTTCTTAAACACTGATCTGAATGCCAGCCTCTCCTCTATTTTTTTTAGTCTTATTTGTGCATATGGGTCTGAAAATTAGGTTTAGGCAGCAGCAATGACTACTTCAATATTTTAATTTTTATTCCATTCTGGAATTTCACAGTACACCAAGGGCTCAGCAAGAAGCCCTGAAATGCAGCTTCTAGATTAGTTAAATCCATTCTTTGCTGAGCATTGCACTTGCCCCACTGATTTGTTCTAGAATGCCCATGGGAATTTCTAGCAGGATGCAAATTGCACTCACGACCACCATGAACCAATAGAGGGAGGAAGGGCATGAAAAATGCACCTCAAAAGCCTGGCTGAAAACAAAAGTGTATGTCTCATAGATTGACTCTTCAGTCATTAGATGTTTCAGTTAGTACACTAGAATTCCAGAAGATGACATGCTGATGCCATGGGATTCAGGTGGGAAAAAATCATGTTCTATCTTCCAAAATTTTGTCAAATTTTAAAGAAATGGACCACTAAAATCTGGACGCTGACTTTTTGAGACTGTTTTTCTCTCTAATAGCTTGCTGCTTTGTTGAAATTATTATATACCTAAAGATGTTTTCAAACAGGAAAACAGTTTTCCAACAGTGATTTGTCGAGTCATTACTGTTTGTAATAATCCTACTTCTTAGTATGTTTCTCTGTATTACACGGGCTGATCTCGACTTAGGGATTGGCGGGCTTTCATATAACTTGATGTGGAAAGACTGCCAGGAGACACTACTATAATAAAAATGTAACAGATGCTGAAGGCAGTCAAATTATTTCTTCTCAGTTTCTATATATTGCATTTCACAGTATTGTTTTTATTTATAAACAATATTCCACTGTGCACATTAACTCAACTTGTTATTTGTGCATTTTTGAACTTCTTGTTTACTTTAACTTATTTAATACTTTCTTTCAAACTCTAGTGTTAATTTTCTTTTAGTCTGAGGAAGAAAAGAGTATGGTAGTTGAGATCTGATGAGCATCCCTTGTAATTCAAGATTGCAAATGAAATTGTTGACCAGATTGGCACCTCTGAGCTACAATGCATGGCTATGTTTTATTAAAATAAACATCTAGAATAGAAAGAAAATCGACAACAGACCTTCAGATACTTTGTCGCCATGCTGTTAAGTGTACAGATGTTTTAGAAACATCTGGTGTGGATGATTTTGTTTACTTTTATGACTGTTTAGTATGGCACAGACTCAGATGTCCCTTTAATTTGAAGACCCCAGTGATTTAGAACAGAGGGATTCAAATTCTCTACCAGAAGCCACAGTAAAAGAATATATTTTACATCATCACTGTGTTTGTGCTAATTCACACTGCATCCACGTCAGCTCCCACATAATTAAACATAGAACAGAAACAAGTTTCACAAACTAATAAATAGCCTTTAGACATGTGATGATTTTGGTTCTTTCCTTTTTCTTTGCATTCCTTCAAAGTTGAATAAATGTTAATTTGATTGCTCATGGAATTAATGGATTTTCCCATTTTGAAAACTTTTTATTAGTTTGTACCTTCAACTCGGAGTGTTCCCTTATAGGAGTGTGTAGAATGACCTTACGGTATGTAAACTTAAGATAAAGTCCAGAAAAGGAATTCAGTTCAAGTTGTAATCTGGACACTGATATGTGAGTTTGTAGTATACTGGTTGATAAGTTATTAACTTGTTTGTGCTTGTAGGTGTCCCACCAAAGAAAGAGAAGGTGAGTTTAGGGGCCAGAGGCTTCCATTTTCCATTGCTTTTCAGCAGTTAGCAACCTTCATGAAAACTTCCTGGGGAGAAAATCAGCTGTCAGTAGCAGCAGACAAGATGCCAGCTCTCCGAGGAACTGTATGCTACGTGTAGCCGATGCTGTCCTTGATTTAGTAAGTGTAGAGGAGACCTAGTGTATCACCTAAGGCTCTGCAGGTGGGAGCAGATGTGTCCTGCTGCAGATTGAATATTTGTGTACCCACACAATTTGCATAGAGAAATCATAACCTGAGGGTGATGGTATTAGGAGGTAGGGCCTTCAAGATGTGATGAGATTAGCGCCTGTATGAAAGGTGATCCAAAGAGTTCCCTTGTGTGTTCTTCCTTGGGAGGTTAGCAGTAAGAAAACTGCTGTCAGTCAGGAAGTGGGCCTTTACCAGGCACTGAATCGGCAGCATCTTGATTGCGGGCTTCCTGGTCTCTGGAAGTATGGGAAGTAAATTTCTCATGTTGATAAGCCCTGAGTTTAAAGTTTTGTGTTAGAGTAGTATACATGGACCAAGACTGCCCAATTGCAGAAGGTCCTTTAAGCTTGTCTTTAACGCCGGCACACTACCTGCTTGCTTTTGCTGAGTCACCTGCCACATGTCTTGACCTAGATAACCTAGAGGTGAGATCGTTGGTTCTCGTTTCTCTGGCAGCCTCCTGTCAGAAGTATTTAAGTTTGTCATTCAGCTTTTAACCATTAATATGAGCATGTTACATTATAGATCTAAAGCAAATCTCTATCATGTCCTTATTACCTTCAAAGATTCATAAATGTTGAAATCTTTAAACAATGTTACTGTTATCAGTCATAGAGAACTTGAAATCATGCCTTTTGTTAATGATTTCTATTGGAAGAAGAATAAACCTCAAGCCTTCATAATATACACCAATACTTTTTCTGGACAACATCATTTGCTTCTATTTTAAATCATTCTTAAATTTTTTTTTTAATTTACTTACTGATTTGAAAGGCAAACTTAGGAAGAGAGAAAGTCTGCCAACCATTGGTTCACTCCCCAAATGGCTGCAGCGGCCAAAGCTGGGCCAATCTGAAGCCAGGAACCAGGAGCTTCTTTTGGGTCTCCCATGAAGGTTCAGGGGCCCAAGGTGTTGGGCCATCTGCTGCTGCTTTCCTAGGCCATAGTAGAGAGCTGGATTGGAAGTGGAGCTGCCTGGACTGGAACTGGTACCCATATGGGATGCCAGCACCGCAGGTGGCAGTTTTACCTGCTATGTCACAGTGCCAGCCTCTGTGATTCCTAAATTTGAACTTATCTTTTCTCTATATGGAAGTGGAAAACAATTGCTTCTTTGCACTGTTGAAGAAACAAAAGAATGCTAAAGCTCTACATATTTATGTATTTAATTATAGGATGAATAATATCAATCTCTTAGGTTTTTCCCCGAGTATTCTTAGTAAATATTACTCTTAAAGCTGTATGCTTTTTTAGGTTATTTTCATGTCATTACCTTTTGGTAGCTTTGAGATCTGCAAGGAGAGAAGGCCTACACTTCCGGGAATTGAGAGTCCCTACCTGCACTTCCAGGGGTGAAAAGTCCTTGTCAAGGTCCCCACAGGTGCCTAAAGGTCAACCAATGAGGATCAGACCTGCCTCAACCTTTAACCCCCACGCCCTGTATCTATAAAAGGAGCCCTCCCAACGTCTGATGCGCAACTTCTCTGCCCCCCCACTGTTGGGATCGGGGAACCTCACCAGGAAGCAGAATCCCAATAGAAGCATGTGAATTAATTGATTCGTCTGCCTGGGAAGATTTGCTAGGCACTGGACACCTTGCACCTTTGTCCCTTACTGTTGATGTCAGACTTGGTACTCAAGATTCCTAAACCTAAGAGTTTTCATCACATATCTCAATTTTTTTCCATATCAGTGATTAAAATAGAGAAGACATTCAGTAGTCCTTTAACTGTACTGCCATTTGGCTAATAAATGTTCACTTCTGGCTTTGCCTATATGTTTGTTTATTTTTCTTTTCTTTCTTTAGCTTATGTTTTTTATTTGCAAACTCTTCTAAAATTTCTGAGACAAATTTTATTTGTAGAGTTTCTATGTGACATTTTAATACTTGTACACGTTATGTAATATCCAATCAGAGTAAGCATTTCTTCTCATACGTTTAGTATTTCTCTGGTGAAAGCATTCAAAATCCTTCAGTTCTTTTTCCCCTTGGAGAAATGTACAATGCGTTATCATTATCTGTACTCACTCTACTGTACAATAGCGTATCAGAACTTCATACTCCTAACTATACTTTGTCATATATTCATCAATCTCTACCCTTTCATCAGCTTCCTTCCCTGGTTTTTAATAGCTGTGATTACACTGTTAACTTCTAGGAGATCAACATTTTTATATTTTTTGCATGAGAGAGATCATGTGGTACTTGTGTTTCTGTGCTTGTCTTATTTCCCAGAATATAATGACTTCCAGCTCCATCCATGTTGTTATAATTGACAAAATTTCAGCCTTTTATGGCTGAATAGTATTCTATTGTGTATGTATTATATGTGCCACATGTTTTCTGTCTGTATAACTTGATGAACATGTAGGTTGTTTCCATTTATTAGCTACTATAATGGAATAATGCAGCAGTAGACATGGGAGTGCTGATGTATCTTCAGTAGACTCATTTCATTGCTCATGAGGTGTATATTTCATTAGTGGAATTGCTAGAATATATGGCAGCTCTGTTACTAGTTTTTGTTTAAAACCTCTATATTGTTTGCCCACAATGACCGTATTAATTTACAATCCCCCAACACTGTGCAAAGCTTTTCTTTTCCCACATCCTTGGTGACACTCATTATCTCCTTTTTTATATAATAGCCAATATAGTTATAGTCATATGATAGCTAATTGTTGTTTTACATGGCCATTTGTATATCTTCATTTTGTAAATGTCTGCTTAAGTCCACTGCCCATTTTTATTTATTTTTGCTGTCAAGTTGTTTGAGTTCCTTATATATATTCTGGACATTAATTCATTGTCAAATGTGTAACTTTCAAATATTTTCTCCCATTCTGCATGTTGTCTTGTCACTTTGTTTACTGTTTCCTTTGCTATTCAGAAGCTCTTGAGTTTGATTAAATCCCATTTATTTATTTTGCTTTTGTTGAGGTCTGAACCTAAAAGCCTTTGCTCGTTCTAATGTCTAGAAGTATTTCTTCTGTGTTTTTTTCTAGTAGTTTCAAGTCTTAAATCCATTTTGAGTTGATTTTTGTACATGACAAGAGATGATGTTCTAGATTCATATTTCTGCATGTGGATATCCAATTTTCCCAGAGCCACTTGTTGAATATACTGTCATTTTGCCAGTGCATGTTAAGACATTTCTTGATATGAATGAAAATGGAAATGCAACATATGGAAACCTACAGAATATGGCAAAAGCAGAACTAAGAGGGAAGTTCGTAGAAAGTTCACAAATAGAAAACTCATCACTGCCCTCTAAAGAACTAGAAAAACAAGCACAAATAAAATCCAGTATGTGGAGAAAATCATAAAAGTTAGAGTAGAAATAAATGAAACAGATAAAAGTACAATGTGGAGGGGGCACATTGTGATGCAGTGCATTAATCCACCAGTTACATGTGCCTACATCCTGTATCAGAGTCCCTGGTTTAGTCCTGGCTGCATCATGCTTCCAACCTAGCTTCTTGCTAGTGTGCCTAGGAAACATTAATTGATGGCCCAACTGTTTGCTTTTCTGCCAGCCACATGGAAGACCCAGATAGAGTTCATGTATTTGGCTTGGGCCTGGCCTACCCTTGGTTGTTGCAGGCATTTGGGGAATAAAACAATGGGAGATCTCTTCCTTCTCCCACTCCCTTCTCTCTGTCACTTTGCCTTTCAAATAAATAAATATTTTTAAAAAATACAAAAATATAAATGAAACTAGTACTTTGGGGGTAAAAAAGCACTTAGCTAGACTAAGAAAAAGAGATTCAAATACAATCAGGAAGGAAAAAAGAAAACTTTACAATTGATACCACAGAAATGCAAAAGGATTTTTAGGAATTATGTGCAATTATACAGCAACACATTTGATTACCTAAAAGAAATGGACATATTACTGCATGTAGCTACTACAGTTCCTCAAGATGATTCAAGTACTAATTTTATTTCTTCATTATACCTACATTTTGTGTGTCTAAGGAGTTAATCACAGTCTCTTCAACCCATTGTCTTAAGTAATCAATGAAATAGTCATTTTTTATAAGACTGATGTATCCTGAATGCCAGTTGTTAAGTGTATGCAAGACAATAACATGAACAGATGACTCCTTAGAATATTTATATAGCCAGTGGTGGCTATTGTGATCTTCAAAAAGTGCATGGAAACTGAATGTTATAAAAAATGCATGGATTTCAAAATACTTTTGCACTAAGTAAACACGTTAATCTATATTCCATGAACTTAGTGAAGTACCTTCTATAGTGCAAGAAACTAATTGTTTTGTGATCCTGATACTTCTCAGTGTGTGGAATTCACATGTCAGCAGCAAATCTACTTGACTTCAATGAAATATGTTAAGAATTGCACAAAACTGTGCCCTTATGGAAAATGCATTGGCTGCCATTTGGTTTTCAGATGGTACACTTAGTCAAAGCTGAATTTAAGTGTCTCTTGTTCTTTTAAAGAATATCACATTTGGTCAGATTAGCTCATTTAAATGTTTCATGAAATGAACTAACACACTGCAGGTACTAACTGTATATACTAACTGAACTCTTGGATAGAAATGTCGGTTGGGAGGAATATTTGATTGTTTTCCGTGGTTATGTTGAAAGCCAGGTGATGAAGACATCTGGTAACGAAAGAAGATAGGAAAGAAAATACTCTCCGAGTTTGGAAATGTTATTTTAGTCTTTCACCTGCTTTGAGATGAAATGCACAAAATGCAAATGACAAGATGACTAGGCTATCATCGATAGTCTCTTGTCACAGAGGACCTTAGAGATTCCTGTGCTTCAGGGAAGAGTGGGAGAAGAAGCAGTGGGTAAATGAATGCTTTGTGTGTCCTAAATGTTAGAGAGTAAGAAACTGAGAAATGACACATTGTAGATAATACCCACTTATATAGGAGATAATTTAATTACAGATCTATCATTTCTACATATTTATTCAAAGAAGTCTTGGCTATTTATAGTTTTTGTTGCTATATATTCTGCCAACATGCATCTTGTGTATGTGTTTTTTCTTCTCTAGGATTGATTCATTTTCTTATACATTGTGGACAAGAATGCAGATTCACTGATAAGAGGAGTAACACAGGGATTCATCCACATTGAACCAACTACAGACGTAGTTACTGTTTTGTTTGTTCTGTCCTCTTTTTTTTTCTTTTTTTTTTTTTTTTGACAGGCAGTATCCTCTTTATTCCATCATTCATTAGGCATCTATTGACTGTCTCAGACTCTGTACAGTTTGGATGGAGTGGGAAACAAAAGGAAACATGAAGTACATAGTTTGCCTGCCAGGGTTTTTGCAGATTATGTAGAAATGCATTTTATAGTTTCATGAAATAATACGTAGTGATAAAGGGCTAGTATGTCTTTATGAAAAAATAACAATAAATAGAGTTGTGGGTTTCATAGGCTGAGGGGATTAGATAATCACACTCAGATTACCTACCTCTAGGCCAGCTTTTAGGACAATTCTATCTTTAGGAAAGAAAAGCTTATGAAGTTTCTGTTCATTAATCCAGGTGACTCAGAATCTCATTAACCTGACTGCTGAACCATCTATATTCTGTTCCAGAGCTTGTACCCTGTGCTATACCTGGGACAAAGCCATAGCAGTATGCCCTGTTGACAACTGTTAATTTTGTTCTTCTGTATTTGTAATGCCTTTGATTTTCAAACAAGGATTATGTGATAAAATTGCCATACTTGGGAATGAGTTGTAGTCTTTTAGGCCTTCCTGTTTTTACAGAATTTGCTAATAACATAGGAATATAAAAGTTCTAAGGATAACTCGGGGTAATAGATTAGCAAATATATACATGAGAAGGGCCAGAGGCTTTGTTTTTTGGTATGACTTATTTCTGACATGTTAGATCATAAATAGACTTCAGTAGGCTAAGACAGCATGATGCCAGTAGACTAAGAGGAGAATGAGAGTTAAGTGAGTGAGAATAAAATGAGGATGAAAAGTGCATTTCATGGAAGGGTAAAAGCAACAGGGTAGGAAGTATGGAACTAAGGCCCAGAAGAGCAGAAAATATGGTATATTTGTTATTGCATTCCAAATGTCTAACATAGTCTCTGGAACATAGTAGATAAAATACAAAACCTGCTGAGGACCAATTGAGAGAGGACATCACGTTGGAGATTCCAGAAGTAGATTAACGTAAAATGATAGTTGAAAAAATAGGGAGTGGTGCCACTATTGTATACCCAAGTCAAAGAAATAGGACACTCCCAAAAAAATCATCTGAATTTTGAAGGATTGTGAGGCCAGGGTATTGTCTGGAGGCAATTTTCCAGTAACAACTGGGATATAACAATTCTACAGTTTGATCCTACACACATGCATATACACAAAGAACAAAAACCTCACAGATAATAATAGCAGGAAGTAGTCATAAAGTCTACTGGGGAGCAATGAACAAGCAGGTCTCTCATCCCAGCCACTTGAGTTTGTGGGAGGTATGTGGGGTACAGGGGAGGGAAAGGCAAAAACCTTGGACAAGATTGGATGCCACATGGTAATTTTTAAAAATATACATTTTGCAATAGAAAGAAAATTTTAATAAAAAATATGAGGGCTTTTGTTCAGAACAGAGTAGAGATTGCACAGAAAGGGGCATAGATAGAGCCAGTCTTGGGAGAAGAAAGTCTGGGAGGAATGGAGATGATCTGAATAAGGCTGAGAAACTCAGGATTATAAAGAAATGATGGAATTAGGGGAAATCATACCAGCAAGAATGGGAATTTTGTTTTTGAAACTTAGAGATACTTATTTTTCTAGAATTACTAGGTATGCAAGTGGAAATACCTAGTGAGTAGATAAACATGGTTAAATGCAGTTACGTAAACCATTTTATAATGCCTACCATTTTCATTACTTTCCTTTCAATTTTTGATACATTCTGGAGGAAATGGACACTGTGGCAAAACATAATCAATCACTACTGTTGAGAAGCTAAACATTGCTTAAGATGCTGAAGGTGGCATTTAATGAGTACTTGTTAGGTGTCAGGAAGGATTTGACAAGCTTTAAAGGAAGCAATTTTTATTAGTATCAAAGGCATTGTAAGATGAGTACCTGCATTGTCTCTGAGCCATAGAGCACATGAAAGGTAAATAAATAATCCTACATTCATACAGAATCCAGTAATGGAGTTGTGATTGGACAAAAATTGTCCACTACATGATTTTTCATCTTGATAATGAACATTATAATCTTTCAGACAACCACCAACCTTCACTCCTGTTTGTGGGAAAGTTTTGCAGAGTATTCGTTTTGCTACATTTAGCGAGAGCAGATGGGACGATGGAACGGGTTAAACAATAGAGGGAGTCAACACTGACAGAATAATGTGAGCCACCGTGTGAGCATTACAAAGAGATGAAGGATGACACATCATAATTCAATGGGACGATCAGATGTGATGGATTTCCTAACCACCCAATCTTTCACTGACAAGCTTGTCCCTTTCTTTGTGATTCTGCCTGATTACACTGGCCTGCAAGATGCCAAATAGCCCTAGTGTTAGAAGGCACTATGATGCACTGTCAATCATTCACGAAGAGGTGAGATGAACTAGGTTACAGATAATCCCTAAACTCTTCCTAAAATTTTGTGTGCTGGTTGTCTGTGCTATCCTAAATTCATTCAATTTCTAAAAACCTAGTGTCTTAAAAACCCAGGAGAGGAGAGATTGGTTCAATAAGGCTGCATGATCTCAGATCACTAAATGTTATGTTACTTGAGTTCTATGAGGGACAGCAGTAGTGCCTAAAAGATTCTCTGTGTTTGTGTAATTTAATTTAATTAACAGGACCAATCTATAATTCTATACATGTAAAATTATAGAATCTTACCATGCCAAATTTAAGATGTTGACTTAGATCCATATGTATTGACTTGGAATGATGTCCATAGTGTCTTGTAGGTGAAAGAAGTTCCAAAATATAACATATACTTGGATTCTACTTAGGTTACCTGATTGGAACACACTGCTTTAAGAGCTCTCTAATTGAACAATCTGAGGATCAGCTAGCATAGCAGCTGAGTGTGAGGGATGTAGAATGAGACCACCAGGCTTTGAAACCATGGCACACCTCTGAGTGAATGTTTCATTTTTCTCTACTTCAATTTCCAAATTGGCAAAGTGGGTTATAATTGAATGTGACTAATAGAATTCTGTTGACTATTAAGAAATCATATGTACAAAAACATTACCACGCCTGGTTTATAGTAAACATGAAGATAATTTATTACTCTTATAATAGAGAAATATGGAAGAAGGTTTACTAACATGTTAACTGTCATTTCTTTCCTCTTGGAAGCATTTTTTATACTTTGATAACAATAGAGGATTATTTGTTAATTTTTAAAGGTTTATTTATTTTGAAAATTTGAGCTACAGAAAAGAGGGAGAGACAGAAATCTTCCATCCACTGGTTCACTCCCCAAATGGCCACAGCATCTGAGGCTGAGCCAGGTTGAAGCCAGGAGTTTCATCTGGGTCCCTCATGTGAGTACAGAGGCCTAAATACATGAGCCATTCTCCACTGCTTTCCCAGGCACATTAGCATGGAGCTGGATCATGGAGCTGGGACAGGAACCAGCATGTATTTGGGATGTTGGCATCACAGACTGGTTTTACCCGCTGTGCCCCAATGCTGACCCCTCTTGGTTAATTTTGTTAAGAAAATAGGTAGATTCTTTGTCTTGGAAGGAAATTTATGTACTATTTTTTCCTAATTTTCTGAGTATGGAGACCTACATTACAAGTTTTCTAGCACACTTATCTTCAACCTCTGCACAAACTCCTCATGTTATCTCTTACACCGTAAGAGGTATGAGGACAAACCCTCCATTTTCCAGTCTCTTTGAATGTTTCATGGAATAAGTATTGCCTAAATAGGACTTTAATTAATTGTGGTTTTCAGAAATCAAGTCATTTCTCTCCCAAGTCATTGTCACCCTATCATGGGATACATCTAGATTGTTAATGCAATTCTCATTCTCTCTCTGAGAGGATTTCAGTAACATTGCCTCCTAGGGCCAAAGGGAAAACACCTACACCTTAGCACTGTCCTGAGTCTTTTTCACAAGATCTTATCCACAGAAGAGTTCCACTTTCCTATCATTAGCGTTAACATCTCTCCCCCAAATAGCATCATGTTTCCTTCAGTGGCTGTTGGACAAGACTGTATCAGGAAGAATATAGCACAAAGGGCTGCTCATGAGTGAATGTGAATTTCCTACTCTATCCTCTCAAGTTATTCCAAACAAATATTTCATACAATAATTTCCAGACTCATGATGGGATATGAAGGATAGGAGTAAACAAGAAGTGTGTGTTTAGAATTCAGCTTTCCTTTTTAATTTTTTGGGGGTTTTATTTATTTTGAGAGGTAGAGTTACAGACAGAGGGAGAGACAGGTCTTCCATCTGCTGGTTCACTCCCCAAATAGCTGCAAGGACTGGAGCTGAGCCAATCCAAAGCCAAGAGCTTCTTGTGGATCTCCCACATGGGTGCAGAGGCCCAAGGGTTTTTAGCATCTTCTACTGCTTTCCCAGGCTATGAGCAGAGAGTTTAATTGGAATAGGAGCAGCTGGGGACATGAACCAGCACTCATATGAGATGCCAGCGTAGCAGGCTGAGGTCTTGCCTACTCTGCCACAGCAGCAGCCCTTTGGGTTACCTTTTATACCTGGGATCCCTGTTTTTTGGGCTAAAAGTCTGTTAACTCCATGACTTTGTCCTGACTCAGATTACCTGTAGGCATTATAATGCCCAAGGCTGTTTTCAGAGGAAAGCTTTAGCCCAGAAAGTACCATGCCTTTGAGTAGATCTGAGTGGTATTTGCAACAAGGAGAACATTACAATATTTGAGTAACAGATACAGTTGGAGGTTATATGACACACAGCTCTGGAAGAGTAAGAAGCCATGTACAACTCTAAGTATTAAATACACACATAATGTAAAAGAGTAGACATCTACCACTTGCATTTTAACAGGCATTAGACAAATGGGTTTGCTCTTGCATCATCAAAGGTTGCTATCCACTCGGTCACTGTGAAACGCTCCCTGCGGGTTGGTGCTGTGGCGCAGCGGGTTAAAGCACTAGCCTGAAGCACCAGCATCCCATATGGGCGCTGGTTCTAGTCTCAGCTGCTCCTTTTCCGATCCAGCTCTCTGCTATGGCCTGGAATAGCAGTAGAAGATGGCCCAAGTCCTTGGGCCCCTGCACCCTCGTGGGAGACCTGGAGGAAACTCCTGGCTTCGGATTTGCGCAGCTCCGGCCGTTGTGGCCATCTGGGGAGTGAACCAGTGGATGGAAGCCCTCTCTCTATGTCTCTACCTCTCTCTGTAACTCTGTCTTTCAAATAAATAAAATAAATCTTAAAAAAAAATGCTTCCTGATCTTTGGGTAAGGAATCAATGCATGCAAACCTGCTCACATAAGGCTAGGGAATGAGAATGAACAACTTCCTCCCAGCAGTGCCTCTGTTCTTGCTGTTACTCTCTTCTTTTGGTGATCTCCAGGATTCTTGGCTCTAACTATCTACTTGGTTTTATGGCAATCCCAAGTTCCTTCCTGAAGCTGATCTCTTATGGCTTGTACTATGCAAAGACACTATGGCTCTGCTGAGACAATAAGCTAAAAAAAAAAATAAAATACAGGGGCCAGTGCCGTGGTGCAGTAGGTTAATCCTCCACCTGTGGTGCTGGCATCCCATATGGGCACTGGTTCTAGTCCCAGCTGCTCCACTTCCAGTCCAGCTTTCTGCTATGGCCTGGGAAAGCAGTAGAAGATGGGCCAAGTCCTTGGACCCCTGCACCCATATGGGAGACGGGGAAGGAGCACCTGGTTCCTGGCTACGGATCTGTGCGGCTCTGGCCATTGCAGCCATCTGGGGAGTGAACCAACGGAAAGAAGACCTTTCTCTCTGTGTCTCCCTCCCAATGTCTGTAACTCTACCTCTCAGATAAAATAAAATCTTTTAAAAAAATACAGTTGCACTGAAGAATATATGAAAGCACCATGGTGGTATTAAAATAGATATCTAATCTTCTGGAAAACTTTACCTAAGAGAGATGAGGATTTTGCTGACCTCTGAGAAATTTTAGTTTCCTATTTTTATTTTGAGGTTCTTAGAAGAAAACATGGATTTTAATGGGACTTTGATTACATAGCCAATGCAACATCATGACCCAGTACCACTTTTGTTTGCAGCACTGATCCTTAGGTCTAACAAAGACCACCAATAACAATGGAAAACTGTGGAAATTCATGGGTGCCTGCTTATCTACTTGCTGGATCTGTGCCTGTTTTCCCTTGTATAAATCATAGATATCGTTCTTTTTAGTTGAGGTTAAATGATGAAGCCCTCAGTTGGTTTACTTTGCCACTTTGATTTTTTTGTTCCTCAGCCTCATCTCTTCCTCTCACCTCTCATAAGCAAAGTGCATTTTTCTTGGTCTTATTTTATACACGGTTTCATGGCTTTATCCTACTTTACTGAAGGGCTTTACCCTTTATTGATTCTTTAGAACTTACTATACTTCTTTTTTCTTAATTTTATATTATCAGTAGCAAAATCTGTCAAGGAGAAAAATATATTTTCAATTAAAATTGATACAAATCTGTCTTACTGACAAGTATGGCAATTGAAAATGCATTGTTTTATCAAAGGAAAAACAACAGCATTCCATCTCCAGTTCCTTTGTGAAAAATACATTTTTTAATAATTACAATTATAGCCTTTTTACTTTCTATATAATGAATATAACAAGCATTATCTTATAAATGTAGTTTCAGGAATGATAGTATAATCCTTTCCACTGTCATTATTGATTAATTTGATTAACATTATTCCTAAAATACTACAAAGAACTATTTTAGCATTAATTAAATTTATATGAGGCCTCAGGTAGGAGCTGTGCAAGAGATATTGCAAGAAAAATGGCTGTACTCCTAGGTCAGTGATTTGCAATTGCTCTTGCTGGCAGTTATCTGAATTTTGAAAGAGCATGAATGATCAAGCATGAATATGTGAGGCCATATTAGAAGTATAATTGTCTGAGAAGACTCGAGGCTACCTTTTTTTTTCCATATTCACTATTTTTACTCTTCTTTCAGCAATTCATATAGCTTAACAAAAATGAACTATTGGATGTAATTTATTTTTACAGACTATCATGGTATTAACATGGTATTATCACTTAGAGATATGTTTTTGACCTTATAAATTAAATGAAAATACATACTTTTCACTACTTATTTAGATGAATAGAAAACTTTTTTTATAGTGTTAAGATGATGGCTCTGCCTGGCAGGTAACTATTCTTTTTTTTTTTTCAACTTTTATTTAATAAATATAAATTTCCAAAGTACAACTTTTGGATTATAGTGGCTTTTTCCCCCCATAACCTCCCTCCCACCTGCAACCATTTCATCTCCCACTCCCTCCCCCATCTCATTCTTCATCAAGATTCATTTTCAATTATCTTTATATACAGAAGATCAACTTAGTATATACTAAGTAAAGATTTCAACAGTGTGCACCCACACAGATGTACAAAGTATAAAGTACTGTTTGAATAGTAGTTTTACCGTTAATTCCAATAGTACAACACATTAAGGACAGAGATCCTACATGGGGAGTAGGTGCACAGTGACTCCCATTGTTGATTTAAATATTGACACTCTTATTTATGATGTCAATAATCACCCAAGGCTCTCGTCATGAGCTGCTATTAACTATTCTAATATGTTTGTTACCATTATTGTATATACACTGGAGTGCTAACCATCTAATTTGAAATGAAATACACTGGTTAAAATTCACTAATATATTCAAGTGATTTTTAAGGATCTAAGCCCTTTCTCATATCCTGGAGATAACAGAGACATAATCTGCATCTTCCATGTAGTTTTCAATGTACTGAAAAGTAATAAACAAATGACAAATCGTTTCTAAGTGTCCTGGTAGAATTATGTAGAGGGCATAGTGGTGGCTTTAGGAAAGGAACTACCAACTATTTATGGAAGTATTGTGTAAAGCAGTAATTCTTAAATTTAGTTTTCAAAGTCAGGATTACATAACTAGGAGGCAGGAAGGGGAAAAAAGTTATTCTTGCAGAAAACATGTTAAAAGTAGGAAATAGGCTAAGACCTGGAAAGTCAGATTTAGCAGACTGTAGTAAGAGATAAGGCTTAAATGAGCAGCCTTAGAACACATGAGGCACCATGATAGAGTTTGGATTTTAAGAATATGATCTGATGGCAATATTTAAAGTTAGATTTAAGGAAGGTGAAAATATACTTGATGTGTTATGAAAATGGTTAGTCTATTGTAATCCAAAAGAATTGTAGATGGCAGGGAATAAGAAGAGATCTTGAAGAGAGGTGAAAAGATTTAAGAGTTTTATAATGAAGTTTATAACAACTTGGACCTTGATGGGAATGGAAGCAGTTTAGGATGGAAGGGAAGAGTCGGTGGTAGCCATTGTCATTGGGTTTGTGTAACTTAGTGGATGTCATTGTCAATAACTGGAAAAAGGAATAGAGGAAATAGAAGTTTAAGCAAGGTTCTGCTACTGGTATAATAAATTATCTCCAAAATTAGCCATTAGGAGAACAAGCACACAGCCTATATTTTTCTTTGGTCAGAAGTTTGGGAACAACTTAGGAGTTATGGCTAATGTTCTTTGATGCAGTTTCAGTAAAGATGTTGGCCACAATTACAATCATTTGAAGGCTTAAATGAGGCTGTAGGAACTGTTTCCAAAATAGTTTATTCCACAGTTGTTGTCAGGATGCCAGTTTCTTATCACATAGGTTTGCTTGAGTATCCTCATGACAAAGTAATTGTTTTTTTCTGAGAGTGAGTGAGTAGGATCAAGGAAGAAGCCACAATGTCTTTTATGACTTAGCCACATAAGTCACACATGCCGGTTCTAAAATATGGCTAGCCTATCATTGCACAGTTCAGCACAATCTAATATGGGAGAGGACCTGGAAAAGGCAAAGATACTAGGAAGCATGGATCATTAGGGCCATCATGAAGCCTTGTACCACAGGGCATGTTGAGTTCAATTGTCGGTAAGTAGCAATCTCAGGAAGTAGTAAATATATATACAGAGTCTGCAACAATTCCTTCCAGAAACAATATTTAGATGGATGATAGACAAAGGCAAAAACATAACATTAGAGAGTATCTACATTCAGAAGTCATTCAGAGGGAATTACTATATTAAAAAGACTGAGTGGGCCGGCGCCATAGCTCACTTGGTTAATCCTCTGCCAGCAGCGCCAGCATCCCATATGGGCGCCAGGTTCTAGTCCTGGTTGCCCCTCTTCCAGTCCAGCTCTGTGCTGTGGCCCGGGAGGGCAGTGGAGGATGGCCCAGGTGCTTGGGCCCCTGCACCCGCGTGGGAGACCAGGAGGAAGTTCCTGGCTCCTGGCTTCGGATCCGCGTAGCTCCGGCCGTGGCGGCCATTTGGGGGGTGAACCAATGGAAGGAAGACCTTTCTCTCTCTCTCTCTCTCTCACTCACTCACTCACTGTCTAACACTATCTGTCAAATAAAAAAGAAAAAAAAAAAAGACTGAGAAAGGAAGAATCAGAGAATGGGGTCAGTAGTTAGATTAGTAGTTCAGAAACTCAAAATAGTTTCGTGTGGTATAAAAAATAATTAATAACCTTTGCCAGTGAGTAAGAGTACAAAACTAATGACACAGAACATGAAAAGGAAGTAAAAAAAAAGGGACTATAAGTTATAATTACACTTCCAGGGACTTGCCTAAGCCATCAGAAAGGGGTTCTATGATGGACAGCAGAGTACATGAGGAGATCATGTGTCTGATGGGAGGAACCTGGAGACAGAGAAAATACGGAGAAACTGAGGCAATAGTAAGGGTAACCGAAAGAGGAGAGGAGTAAAGCAGAAACATTTCTCAGCAAAAGGCTCACTCTGAATTTGGATAAAAGTTTCCTCCTCCTCTGGAGTCAATTTTTGCAGAGATATGAAATAGGCTATGGGTATCATTAGGGGAAATTAATTTTCACCTGCTGGAGAGAACAGATTTTCTCTTAAAAAAAAAAGTTCTTGTGACAATGTGGTCTAGAATATTAGAGTTGAAAATAGGTAGCTTGGAACACTCTTGTGAAGAGTGGAAAGAGATTACCACACCAAGATGGCTCAGTGTTCACTGAGAATAAAGAGCACAGATTTGTAGTGGCACCAGAGGATACACTGAACTTAGAAATATGGAGATAATAAAACTAGGTCACCAAGAGAAAATATTTTCAGGTGGTTCTGGTGGTCTCTGGTTTTAAATACAGTTTTGACATTTACTGTTGTGTAATCAAAGATGGGTTAAAGAAAAAAAAGTACAGGGTATAAGTGTATATTAAAGTAGCTATTATGAAACTTGTGGATTTTTTTTTTTTTTTTTTTTTTTGTATTAAAGAGGCTTACTAGGGTTGTGTCATGGTATAGCAGGTAAAGCTGCTGTCATTCCATGTGGCGGTGGTTTGTGTCCTGGTTGCTTCACCTCTGATCCAGCTTCCTGCTGATGACCTGGGAAAAGTAGCAGAAGATGCCCCAAGTATTTGGACCCCTCCCATCTACATCTGCATGGTAGACCTAGAAGGAACTCCTGGCTTTGGCCTGGCCCAGCCCCGGCTGTTGAAGCCATCTAGGGAGTGAACCAGAGGATAGAAGATCTCTGTCTCTCTGTAATTATTTAAAATAAATAATCCTTAAAAAAAAAAAAAAAAACTTCAAAACTTTCTGTTACTTCAATAAACACATTTAGTTAGAAGCATTTTTATGAAAATGTTTGAAATACAATAAATGAATTCTTAGATTTGTTATCTGATTTTATAGATCAAGGAGTTAGATTTATGTGCTGAAAGGAAATGCAGAGACTAATAAGTCAACAGCTACACATGCCATGTGATACAAGATAGCATAGATAACCAATGGACATTCCCACCTGCCTCTCTTTGTGTGTGTATATGTGTGTGTGTGTGATTTATTTTATCTCAAAAGAGAATCCAGAACCCAAATCATTACAAATATCATTAGATCTCCTTTTTTGAAATCTGTTAAAATCAAATAGTTTTCCTTTTGTATCTCCTTTTGTTAACTTTAAAGAGTTCAACATTCTGTAATTATGTATAAATATGCATGTGAATTTATCAGAAAAGCTCCATTTTGCAGTTGTCTTTCAGTCCATCAGAATGTTCTACAAAACCTAGATGAAATTTAATATTGTGAACTAAAGCTATGTTACAGTATATCAGTGTTTTCCTATATGGTTATGGCCAGAAGAGAATTTGTTGACATTAATTTATTTTAATGGAAACGGTAGGCTTTCTGAGTTGTTAAATTGGCACAGGTACACTTTAGAATGTTGCGTAAGGCTTATTTCAGTTCCAGAAGGGGCCATGGTTTGATTAGGGGATAAGATAGCTCAGTATTTGCAAGAATAACCTGTATCTCATGGAAATAGATTATAGCGTTACACTTCATTTTGGACTAATCTGTTTCTTAGATTTTTGCCTTGATGATGAATTTTCTTCTCAAGCATAAAAAATGAAAATATCAACAAATACATTACAGAATTCTTAGATATTTAGAGTTATTGGGCATATTGGGCATATAAAGACCAACCAATGTAAAAAATCTTAGCAACATTGAAAAGAATCATTTCATTAGCATGTTATTTTTGTGTGGCTATGCCAAAATATTTGAAGCTGGATATTTCATAAAGGAAGTTCGCTTAGTTCCATTTCTGGAAGTCTGAGAGCTTGGATTCAGTATCTGCTCACCTTCTGGTAAGGGCCTCATGGTGAATTGTGTTATGTGGTAGGAATGTGTGTGTATGAGAGGGAAAGAGGGGGAGATAGCTAAAGAGCTGCACAAAACTAGAGAGGAAGCAAGTTGACCCTCATGACAACCTGGCTCACTCCTGTGAGATAAAACATTAATGCTTTCTGAGATGGTGTCTCCATGACAAAATCATTTCACTTCTTAAAGTTCTACCACCTCTCCTATCAATACTGTTAAATTGGGGATCAAGCTTCTGGCACATTAACTATCGGGGCACAAGTCATATCTAATCCAAAGCACATGAAAATGCAGTTTTTATATCTGAAACAATTGAATCAGGTACTTAATGTTGTATGTACATCATTTGTTAACTGTAGAGCATTTTAGTGATCAGTTGAACTTTGACAACAAAGGGTAACTCAATGATGGGGAAAGTAGTTAAGAAAGATCAAATAGATAATTGTTGGATTAATCCAGGTTTATTATCATATCTATACATTTATGCTGCCAGTGAGCTAGCATAACCTTATGACTTCCTTTCTCCTGATGAAGCATGACTGATTCAGCTTGTCATATGTGTGACCCCCAAGCTTGAAAAGCATTGTGGTACACACTTGGCTTTTGGGGAGAGGAGCTCTATGGATTTACCTGTTTTCCCATCTATGCTGTGCTTGGTGCAGTGCTGCACTTGGAATGGCTCACATTGATCTCTTGATTCTGTGGTAATTAAGATGTATTTTGCAGCACAGCCCATGGATTCCAAGGCTCATAGGATTAGTCAATAGTTTTCTGCAACCCTGCCATTAGCAGGGCAAACTGTCTTAAAGAAATAGTATGTTTTCCTTAGAGCATGTGCATTTTCTTGTATTTCAGGAGAGTTGATGTTCTGCCCTGCAGTCAGAGATGGAGGTAGGCAGCTGTGAGAAGGTAGACACATAAATGGACTGGAGTTCTAATTCCAGCCCAGAGCATTGCACCCAAGAAAATCTGGGCAGAATTAGTCTGTCTGAACCCAAGTGCTCATCTATAAGGAGAGACAATTCTTGCTACTATCATCATAGAATTGTTGTAAGTGTCAGATTCATTAGTGTGAAATAAATTGTGTTGAAATCTATGAAGCATAATATATGAGCTTTGGAATTGGAATGAATCAGTAAAAAAATTAGAGTGTTAATTTAAAATATACATAGGAAGAGAATGAGGCATAAATTCAGAGGTGAAAGGAAGAAGTGAGAAATGAGCTGTGGAGTTGAAAGTTTGGAAGGGAGACAGTGCAGGGGAGACAGAAAAGCTATACTTTATAGGAAAATAAAAGGGTTGCAAGTAGGGGAACAGGAATGAAGAGGCATAACAGCAAAAGCATGAGATAAAAAAGGGTATGGGCTTATGGCATATCCAGTGCTTTTAGACTATTGTGGGCCTGGTGCTGTAGTTATTGGTATGCAAAGAACTGCTAATGTCTGTCCTTTATCATTCAGATTTTCATGTTAATGCCATGGAAAAATTAACAAACCCTTTGTCTTCCAAATACTCTTGCTTACTGACTACAGTAGACCTGATATCGGAAATGACCCCCTAAATTCTATACAAAAATGTGGCCCTTGAAGTTCCCCAAAAATGCCATCTGGGTTGCCACATATGCTACCAGAATTTGGGGTGCCATACGATATCACCATATGCTTATTAATAAATCCCCAATATTAATAAGCCCAAGAGGGTTCTTGCCTAATATTTAAAGAAGAATTCTAAATACCAGCACAGATAAACGAGGCAGCATGGTACATTTTAAGCCTTTATTTAGTGAGAAAGATGCATAGAAGAGTGGGAGCTTTATCTAAGAGAGAGAGAGGTAAATCTGGGTTCATACCCAGCACCAGGAACCAGCCCCGTGGTGGAGCATCTAGGCCAGGAAGCCTAAAGCGGGTAGTCTGAAGGCCACGCGCCCTGGAGGCTCAGGGCTACAGCAAGGCCCCTCCTGGCAAGAGGCCAGGGAAGAAGAGAAGGGCAGGACACACAGTGTCCCAGGCTTTTAACCCACTTCCAAAGGGGAGTGGTTAATTAACCTGATTGGCTTGTGGGCACCCAGGTGTGGCCAGGTAGGGGCAGGAGGTCACACAGGGGCGTGGTGAAGGTATCAGGTAGCACATGAGGTCACACAGGGGCATGGTGAAGGTGTGGTCTTCCAGCTCACAAAGCTAATGGATTTTAACCTGTATGCCTGCCTACTTCAGACCCAAAGCTGTTATCTTGTGGTCTGACTTACTAGTCTTATGTCCTTAACTCTTACAGCAGCACACACTCAGCCAACCAAGTGATCACCACAATCATCCAAAGGAGCTGGCAAAAGGTGCTTGCAGATGTCACATGGGTCTAGCCGTGTGTATCTCTCCCTGGAAGAAGAAATCTTGAAGTCACCAACAGCTAAACTGTTGCATTTAGATGAAAGAAAGAAGGTAATGGAGTTGGTATAATTTGTCGAGGAAATACTTGATTAGTTAAGACTAGCTTACATAAAATTCTTAAGTATTGTATTTATTTTCAACAATAGGTAGGTATGAGGCAAAGAAAAGTGATGGACTTACTACGCTGCCTGCATTTGAAAGAATTTATTCCAGTGAGTTGAGGGAATTGCACACATAACTAGTTGTGAGACTGAGACCTAGATGTATAGGAGTATGGATTTTCTGTGTTATTTGACTAATATATTTCAGTCCCTACTATCAAAACTAAAACACTTATCAGTGACACTAGAAAGAAACTGGATTTCAGTTTCAGATAACCATTGGATAAATTTGTCTGTTTTCCTAAGATCACAAAAATGATTATTATATCATAGGGTTTATTTTTATTATTGATTTGGGAAGTATAATCTTTTCCTTTATGTGTCTTTAACCCTTAAATTATTGGATTAAATTGATCAGGTGACTTTATGAAGACTAATTTCTTTGACTAGAATTGTCCTCTGATGGTGGATACTGAGGAAACATGTGTTTATGATGTACTTAGGTGTATAACACTTCTATCAGGATTATCACATTTGGTGATATAACCTGAATTAACTCATCTGAATCACAAATAAAAATCCTGAATGTCTGTTAGCAAAATGAATAGTGAATGATTAATCCCTCTGTCAGGATTTGGTTATCCATTCCCTCAAATTACCTTAAATGTCATTAAATTTTTGTTGCCTAGCTCCATACAAAATGAAATTCAGAGATGAGGTTTAAATAGAGAAAACTAAATGATATGCGTATTTCTTCTGAAATAAAACAGATACTTAGAATTCCAGGATTTTATGGTTCAAGTTTTTAAATTTGTGAACAACCCAAATACCTATTGTAAGAGGTAATATAAGATATTGCCAAATATAGGAGTTGAGTTAGTTATATGAAAGCCAATCAGTGGCTTATTATGCAACAATCACAATTCAGCATGAATTCAGGGTATACATTTATTTCCATAGACTCAAACGCTCACCTAGGGTCAGAAAGGGACTCTTAACATTTTACGGGGAAAATATTATTAAGAACTCAGGAGTTAGAGAACATTTAAAAGGTAACTCATGAGAATGTCAAAGATGAATTTCTTTTTTTAATCAAAGGTGAATTTCTTCTTTTTAAAGATTTATTTATTTAATTATTTGAAAGTCAGAAGTGGAGAAAGAGAAAGAGAGGTTCTTCCATCTGCTGGTTTACTCCCCACATGGCCACAACGGCTGCATCTGGGCCAATCTGAAGCCAGGAACCGGGACCTTCTTGTGGGTCTCCTACGTGGGTGCAGGGGCCCAAGAAGTTGGGCCATCTTCTGCTGCTTCCCCAGGCAAATTAGTAGAAAGTGGAATCAGAAGTGGAGCAACTGGGATTCAAACTGGTGCCTATATGGGATGATGGCACCACAAACGGTGGCTTAACCAATAGCGACATAGCGCTGTCCCTCAAAAATGACTTTATTTAAAGCACATTAACTTCATCATCTCCTCTGAACCTCTCAGTTCCTCTCTCCCCATTTCCAGGGATATCTGCCTAGGACTTCAGTCAAGGAAATATATAGATATTAAGCTTCGTTAATAAATAGTAAGGCTTTCACTTAAATCTATATCCAACTTCCAAATGTGTAACTCCTGCTGCTGCACTGGACCATGCCTGTAAGTACATGGCATGCTTAGGAGTGTAGGTCTCTCCAAAGCTCGAATACCACCGTGCTGCTTAGCCCTCTGTGTTCAAGCCCAAGATTCTTAAAGAGAATTTAGCTTCACCAGATTTCAGATCCTTTCTCTCCCAGAGAACATTGTGCTTCTATGGTGCTGGCCTACTTTTATTCCAAGATTGGAGCTGCATAAAACTAAACTTTGGCTCTTGGGAAGTTTAAGGTTGGCCTTGGGAAGTTTAAGGTTGGAATATTCTGAATGGTGCTTTTGTGGAAGCAGTACTCTGGGTCTCTTAAAAGCACACTTCACAGAGAGGAGTTGCATCTCTCTCAAATCCCACAGGCATCTCTCCATACTTAGAGAGTATAGAGAGAAAGAAGTCGCTAATGGAGTTTAAAAGGTTACCTTCATTAACTAAAAATAAATGTAAAATGAATGGCCTCCCTTCTAAAAGGGAGCATTCTGCATGGTCATTGTTAAATGAAATGAAAGAAAGATGAGTTTTGATGATGTTATCCCAGTGTGTGGGGCTCACTGCTGTTCATAACCGTCTGCCACCACACAGTCCTCCCTGGAACCCGATTGGACTCCAGGGCCCTCGTAATGTTCGAAGGTGTGTGCAGATCAATTTCCTGCATCATTTCTGCCATGGTAAATCATTTATTGGGATGAATGTTTTACAAAGGCAGGCAAGAGCAAAACTCATGAAAAATAAATATGGTAAAATACACTCGTCTGTGCTGCATCAGTCTTCAAGGCTTTGTCGTGTTTAAATTCTCTGTGGCATTGAAGCAGTTAGAACATTTCCCCTCATTTGGTTGCACTGTGGCCAGTTGAACTCAATTAACGCGTGGTGCCACTGAGGCCAAAAGGGTACATTTTATTTCCTCACATATCATTTGACTCACTCTATTCCATGACCACAGATTCCTTTGTCTGATCCCATGAGCAGCAGGGGCAGTTGTCAAAATAGGGAGTGGGGCCCGGCAAAGAGGGAAGGATTCAGTTCTACTCATCCTTACTACAGACAAAAGCAAGCCAGCCAGCAAACAAAAGCAAGGAAGTGCCACACCTGGTGTGCCACTGAGCCTGAGTTCTAAGAACTGACAGAATAGTATGCGTATTATGCACACTCAAAAGTTATTTCAAAGTAAATTATTTTAACCAGTGGGCAAAGTTAAAAGAATTGGTTTCCTCATGATAAAACTATTTTGTGACTGAATATTTGAGTTAAATCCATCCCTCAGCTGAAAAGGTGTCATAATAAGCATTAAAACAAAGCAAATAAAACCCTGACATGAATAGCAACAGTGAGGACTTTGGTCCCCAAACTCTAATGCTTCCTGTGTTAGATAAAATGATGGATAAAGTGCTAAGCTACGTGTCCTGATTTCATATCCGACACATTTCACAATGGGATCTAGTTCCGAACTCATGACTACCTGTAAAAGTTTTTTACTTTTTTAAATTATTTTTTACATTTTACTGATAAACAGAGACTAAAAAACCTCCCGAATGCCATGGAATTAGTGAGGTCGTACCAGGCTTCAAGTCAGCTCTGTCTGAAATTTGAACGATGCTGTGTGTGGCTGTGTCTGAACAGGTTCCAGGTAGAGCACTGGAAATGTGTCCCAGCAAGGTAAGCTCGTGTCAGTCATGAAGGGAGACAAAGAGGCAGCAGCATCTTCAATTGGAGTAATATAGAATGGAGCAGAATACGGATCCTCAAACGGGAAGTCAAAGATGGTAAATGACAGGAGAAGTCCTCTAAATGTCTCTCCTACGAGGACACCTTTGCTTGGTTGCGCCATCTTGACTGGGTTTTGATTAAATCTCTCCAGAACCTTCCTTTGGGAATTCTTCAGATTCTCTGGTGCTGTCCTTTGTCAAGAGGAGGAATTGAGAATATTTCTGATTGGCATTTCATTCCCAGAAGCATTCCGTAGATTTGAATTAATAACTCTTGTACACCCCACTCCCTCACTCTGCCCAGTCCATCTGCTACCCTGCCATATATCAATCTAAGAAGGACTTTACATTTAAAAAATCAGTTCCCAGTGCAAGGATATCAGTGATTCATCCTGATTTTAAACACTTCCTGAAATATGTCCAATCACATTTCTAGCTGTCTCCCCAGCATGTACACTCTGCTGTGGCCATATTTTCGTCACTTACATTGGGTACATTACTCTCTTCACCTTTGCTTAAGTGTCCTGTTATGTCCTGTAATTTTTTTTTTCCATCTCTGATGCGCACATCTGAATCAAGTCATTGAAAAATTGTTTTAATATTTAGAAAACCTAGTATAAAGGATTATTAAAAATGGTCCCTATGGGCCAGCATTGTGATGTAGTGGGTAAAGCTGCCATCTGCAACACTGGCATCCCATATGGGCACTAGTTTCTCTCCTGGCTGCTCCATTTCTAATCCAGCTCCCTGCTAGTGGCCTGGGAAAAGCAGTGGAGGGTAGCCTGAGTGCTTGGGCTCATGAGAGACATGAGAGACCTGGAGGAGGCTTTTGGCTCCTGGTTTCAGCCTGGCAGAGCCCTGGCCATTGAAGATATCAGGGGAGTGAATCAGAAGCTGGAAGATACCTCTGTCTTTCCCTCTCACTCTATAACTCTATCAAATAAATAAATTTTGAAAAATAAATAAAAATGTTCCCTATAGTCTAAAAAGAACCATTGCAAGGCTTATTACCAGCTTTTTCTACATTTTTAATGAAGCATAAATGTGTATATATATATATGTAATATATAAATATACCTTCAAAATATGGGTCACATTATACAACATTTTTACTTTTTACAGCATGGCAGTATTTTTTTACATCATTAATTATTTTTAAAAATTTGGTCTGGCATTGTGGTGTAGCAGGTAAAGCCAATACCTATGACTCGGGCATCCCATGTGGACGCCAGTTTGTGTCCAGGCTGCTTCACTTCCTATCCAGCTCCCTTCTAAAGGCTGGGAAAAGCAGCAGAGGATGGTCCAAGAATTGGAAGTGCCTGGCTTTGGCCTGGCCTTGCCCTGGCTTAGCCATGGGTATTGGGGCCACCTGGGGATTGAACGTACAGATAGAAAATCTCTCTCTCTCTCTCTCTCTCTCTCTCTCTCTCTCTCTCTCTGTGTGTGTGTGTGTGTATGTCTGTCTCTACTTCACTCTCTGTAATATTGACTTTCAATAAAATAAATCTTAATTAAATTGTACATCAACAGTCAGGACAAAGGCTGATCAAGTCACTGTTTCTCATAGTGTCCCTTTCACTTCAACAGGTTTCCTTTTTTGTGGTTGGTTAGTTGTCACCAATCAGGGAGAACATATGATGTTTTTATCTAAAAATATGAATATTTTCAAATCTCATTATTATTAAAAAACTACCCAGAAAATTACCTCAATTTATATTCACACCAACAAAATAAGACACTGTCTAATTCACCCTAAAGTTAAGTATTATCTTTATATTGCTTCCCAATTTTATAATCTTTTATCCCATTATGATTAATTTCTTCATTTGTTATTCAGTAGAGTTCAACCTTTAAAACTTAATGGTTATTTTTTTACAGTGATGTAACTCTGTGGCCTCTGCCTATTTTCTTGCTCTTCCATAAAAGAGTAACAAGAAAATGAAAATTATCAAATTTTTGTTTTACCCCAGTTTTCTAAATTCATATTGTTGAAATTAGGCAATAATTGGTAAACTTATTTAAAACCATATACAATTGTAATCAGTTACTGCTGTGGCTGCTTTTTTTTTTTCTTTTTTAAGAAAGAATGTGTGTCATACAAGGGTATGATTGCTCAATTTTCTATTTGTCAAATAGCTTAAATCTCTAGACTGTTGACTACAAAATGAAGGAGGAATGGGCTGGTTTTTTTCTTTTGTTTAATTAGAAAGACTGGTTTGATGTAAAACATGGGTAGGCTTTCCATCTATTCTAGATCCTGGCCAAAAAAATTTTTTTTTTCAAATTTTAGTTGTCACTAAGAATGTGAGTTGACTATTTTGATTGGAAGCCTAAGCAAGTGCCAGCATTGAAGTCCTTTCCAAGAAAACTAGAAGTGGAATCATTTGTCCTTCATTGTAATGTTTGAGTACAACCAGTTTAACATTTGCTATTTCTTTTGTTTAAAAGATTTATTTGAAAGGCGGAGTTTTATACACACACACAAACACACACACACACAGTCGTTTTATTCACTGATTGACTCCTCAAAAGGCTATAATGGTCAGAGTGGGGCCAGACCAAAGCTAGGTGCCTAGAACTTGTTTCCCAAGTGGGTGCAGGAGCCCAAGAACTTGAGCCATCTTTTGCTGCTTTCCTAGGGGCACTAGCGGAGAACAGGTTTGGAAATGGAGCAGCCAGGACTTGACTTGGTGCTCATATGAGATGCTGGTATCAGGCAGTGGCTCAATTCTCTGTACCACAATGTTGACCCCAAGTATTTGCTATTTCTCTGTTTTATTTTTTTCTTTTACACTTTTTTTTTCTTTTGCAAGAAATGCAATTTCAATTTCTGTTAGGTCTTGTAACTTGAAAGATTTCTGGATATTACTAAATGGCATATTTTTTGGCAAGGAACATGGAGTCTACCTATGCATTAGCAAAACCAGCTTACAACAGTTAGAATAGGAAAGGATTGAAATGTAACCTTTTTGAGCCCTAGTTTTCTAAACTGTAAATATTCACAGGTCTTGATAGGATGAATTCATGTATATGAAGCTTAGAACTTTGATTTCTTCCTTATCTTCTTTTATAATCCAACCTTATCTATGAAATTCTGATTCAAGTACTTATCTGATTTTGTGAATGGGAAACTTTTTGTTACAATTTCTCGTTCATAAATGCATGTCTTTTTTGAATGATAGGTCCAAAATTGTGAGCTAGATTGTTATCATAATTTGATAGAACATGTGTTAAGTAATTTCTTGGGCTGCCAATAAAAACATGCATTTTTATCTTTCAGGTAGAATCCAAGTTAATTTTGGTAAGTAAAAAATCACAGAAAATCAGCAAAGTTGTTGAATAAAGCCAGTGATTGAGACAGGCACCTACTTATACATAACATTTCCTTCAAACAATCTATACCTACTTCACCATTATGCATAAGTTTACCTTAGATGGGAGATCTTTAATAAGTCTCGGATCTGGCTCAGTGTTCCCCAGACTTATAGAGCCAACTTGGAAAAAATAATACCCAGGCACCCAGCCATTGCACATCTCCTCAGGCAGCTGTTAAGAATGATGTTGCGAGACACATTGCTAGAAATGAAGGCTTTACAGCTGTTTGAGAAAATGTCCTCCAATTTGTAAGCAGTGCTATTCCCCCTGCACTATACACTGATCCAAGGTGAAAGGGGAATCCATGTTATCCCTAGTTAACTTCAAGATTTCTCTTTCCTCTAAAATCCATTTGGTAACTATCATTTCCTTAGTTCAATAAGAATAACATTGTGTGCTGTGTTTTGAGTTTTAATTAAAACAAAAAAAGCCCATATTTTATTTCTTTACACAAACTCGCTTGTATAGAGCCAAAGCATGAAATCTATGTGACATTTTTTCTTTATCCCTTGTATTCACATCTCTTTTGTCTCTTATCTTTGGAGTCCTAGCTTGCTGTGCAGATGTATAAAATTAGTAGGCCAGTACCTGAAGCATCAAATTAAAACAAAAATACTTGCTGATCAGATAATAATTAACCTGTTTCTGTATCACTTTCCTGTTGGATATAAAGTTCACTTGCAAAGTGGTTTTCTATTTTATGCTACTGTTTTTGTAGGACCATAATTAGAAACTCTGAAGAGATAACTTCTCAATCACATTAGGATTTGCACAAAATTTACTGATGCCCAAGGCATGTTCGCAGAGTTGGCTGATTCCAAGTAAGCTAATTTACAATGGGTAATAGTGGGACTTTACACTGAATTCCTTTCGTTTTCCTTTTTACTTTCAAGACTGAGATTGTTCGAAATATTGACTGGGGTATAGAAGTTGAAAACTTGATTGATGACAAAAACTAATTATGCTCCCTTGACCTAATCCTGTTAATGAGATGATTACAGCAAATTTCTAGGAGTTTGTCTCATAGAGCAAAGAAAACACAATCTATTAGTGAGGGGGTCTTATCAACTGTTTCCCTTATCAATTGTTAGGAAGTTATAGCAACTAAAGACACAGGCTTGCTCATTAGGTTTGGTATTTGTCAGTATGCACAGTGGTGTCTGAAGGACCCTGAAAGTTACCTTTAACTTTAAGTTTAGGTCAGACAATGGGTTGTCATGTTTTGCCTAGCATCTTTAATAAAACATTTTCTGGCTTATATTCATCATCTAAACAATATTCTCTGATCCATATTATCCCAAATGAGAGGCTCCTTTAAATCCTTCCTTGACCACGGAATAGTCCATGATGTTATTTACCTTTAATATGATACCTTAGAATGTCAAGATGCATTCTTAGGAGAAGTGATTCATTACCTAAAGAACCTCGTATATATCTCAAAGACTCAAAAAGGAGCCAAATTTTGCACTGTTTTGTTTGATGGATTCAAAGAAAACCCCATATTCATATTAAAAATAATTCTCTACCAGACGTATGAAAGGAATAAGACTTACTTACATGTACCGAACATAGAAACTCTTCAAAGTCTTTGCTTCTCAGTGGTGTGCTTTTTAAACTTCTCAAGAATGAAAGGTGGGCAGATCAATGTTCATATTCCTATTATAAAGATAAGAAAATGAAGAACATATGAATTAACTGATTTGTGTTAGGTAACAGTTCTTAACATTTTCTGAGTCACAGGCTCTTTTAGAAATATGATTATAAACCATAGACTCTATCCCAGAAAATGTACATGGAAAACATACCAATACTCTTTACATCTAATTTCAGGTTAATAATCCCTGGACCAGGTAATAAGTATTAGACTAGTCAGGATATAAGCCCAGTTAACCCTCCTTTCAAACTTAATCTTTTTCCTTCTCCATGTTTTGTCCTATTATTTGTAGCAAAGATGGACTTAGAATATTCTGTCTCTCATAATGTTGTGTAAGATTCAGTATCTTTTTACAGAAAATATACCTATTACATATTTTTTCTTTCTGTACAATATGCTACTGAGCTATATAAAACTTGTGTAAATTAATTCTGCTCATTTCCTCTTCCACACAATTTCTACTCAAGTTTCTTTTTTCCATGTTGCTTTCCTAGTCCCTATGGGATGTGGAGACAGCATATGCTGATATTACAGTTTCAGACTGTACAATTTGTGCTTCACACATCAAAGAACGGGAACTTCATAAGCTGTGCCTTCCTTCCCTGCTCTTCCACTACAGAAACAGTATATTAATTACATCTCTAAATATTATTATAATGATGTCAATGTTAACTTGTAAATTAGAGTCCTTATGAGTTATGGGAGTTGACTTTTTGTGTTCCTCTCCATTGTTTTTGAGCTTTGGAAAAAGAATGGAGAAAAGAAAGACTAGAATGACTGTGTATAACACTTTGGTAGAACAAAAACCTTACACAAAAGCATCTGTGTCCTTTGTTACCTAATTGCTTTCTCTCTGTACACTTCTTATTTTCTGATCTCAAATAGGGATAACATCTTTTTCTGTCTTTTCTCTTGAAAGGAAACTTCATTAACAAATTAATCCAATGCTTTTATTTTTAGTTTACTTTTTATCACTTTTTGTCACTAGATTTTAAATGAAGAGAACATTTGAATTAGAAAAAACTGCAAACTCTTTTATATTGAGTACTTAAACACAATCATCATAATTAATTTCAGTACAGAGGTTGAGTATTCTACCATTGCTCTGAGCAGTTTTCTTTGGGAGACGCACAGCATCAGATCTGAGTGTGTGTAAGTTTTCTTGGTCATTGGTTCTCTATTCTGTACTGCTTTGCTTTCAAGGAAGGCTGCTACTGCTCCTTATGACCTGTACTGCAGACCTTGTTTCCTTATAGCTCCTTGTGTATGAGGAGTCTAATGAGTTGTCTCTCAGTAGCACAATTTGAACCTCGTTCAATCCCATTTTTTTATTTTTGAAGATTTATTTTTTATTTATTTGAAAGGCGGAGTTTCAGAGAGAAAGAGGGTAAGACCGGTATCTTCTGTCTGCTGATTCGCTCCCCAAAAGGCCACAACAGCCAAGGCTTGGCAGACAGAGCCAGAAACTTCTTTCAGTTCTCCCACATGGGTGCAGGGGCCCAAGCACTTGGGCCATCTTCCTCCGCTTCCCCAGACCCTTTAGCAGGGAGCTGCATTGGAATTGGAGCACCCAGGATGTGACCCGGAACCCATATGGGACCTCAGTGTCATCGCAGGCCACATTTTACCTGCCATGCCACAGGGCTGGCTCCTGTTCCATTGTTCTTATTTCATCTCCTTGATGAAGACATGACCTTCATTTTCATGATGGCATTGACATTTTTTTGTCACACTTACTTTATCATTCTGTATCATTGTCACTTCCTCTTGGCATGCCAAGGAATTATCAGTCAATATAAGCAATCTGGAATTGTGACTAGCACCAGGCCGAAGGAGGAAACTTGAGGGAAAGTGGAGGATGGGACACAAGGTGGGAGCAGTCCTTCAGGAAGCAGAAGTGAGAGGACAGGGGTACCATGGGATAAAGTTAATGCCAGTTGCTTTAATCACATTCAGTAATAATGCACAGCTCCAGTTTGGACTATAAGAGTAAACTTCTAGAGTCTTGATTTCTATCTATCTCTTCTGTTTTTTTTCTTGTCATTTTCTTATGTGTGTGAGCGTATGCATGTGTATCCATGTGTGCCCACATATCTCCCACCCCCAGCTTATCCCATTTTATTATTATTTTTTGCTCTTAGAATTCCTCCCCGCAATGGCCCAAGTGCTTGGGCCCCTGCACCCACATGGGAGACCAGGAAGAAGCACCTGGCTCCTGGCTTTGGATTGGCGCAGTGCTTGCCTTAGTGGCCATTTGGGGAGTGAACCAATGGAAGGAAGACCTTTCTCTCCGTCTCTCTATGTCTCTGTTTCTCACTGTCTATAACTCTACCTGTCAAATAAATAAATTAAAAAAAAAAAGAAAAAGAATTCCTCCCCCCATACTTTCTGTTTAAATCTGTACCTGGATTTAAAAAGACTGCCTTCAATTTGTAATTCATTATGGTTTGTTGAAATTCTTTCTTCATTAACAATTCTTATGGCCTTAATAATAAGTTCTAGCAGGGCCCAGTGTTGTGGCTCACTTGGTTAATCCTCCACCTGTGCGCCGGCATCCCATTTGAGCGCTGGGTTTTAGTCCTGGTTGCTCCTCTTCCAGTCCAGCTCTCTGCTGTGGCCCTGGAAAGCAGTGAAGGTTGGCTCAGGTCCTTGGACCCTGCACCAGCGTGGGAGACCAGGAGGAAGCACCTGGCTCCTGGCTTCGGATCTGCACAGCAACGGCAGTTAGTGGCCATTAGTGGGGCGAACCAACAGAGGGAAGACCTTTCTCTCTCTCTCTCTCTCTCTCTCTCTCTCTCTCTCTCTCTCACTGTCTAACTCTATCTGTTAAATAAATAAATTAATTAACCTTTAAAAAAATAAGTTCTAGCAAATCATAGAAAATGACTTGTGTTGTTGTGACTAGCTTATATTTTAATAATTATATTTTGTTGAAATGTGTTTAAGTATATATGGCAAACAAGGGAAAAGTACATCAAAACTACCCTTTATGTAAAGTAATATTTTTGCAATAGTTAATATAACATCTGTTAAAAATGTTAAGGCTTGTTTTTCTGACATAGTTTAGTATCTGATATATTTACCTATTGATCAGCTGATCAGTGATATTCAAGTCATTATTTCTGCATTTCTTTTGGCCTTTGGTCAGTGATTATTGCATAATATTCCCAGAATAGCTGCCTCAACTCTCAGGCAGGAAGGAGAAGGGGAAAGGAATTATGGCACCTATTGGTCCCTTTCATTAAGAAAACCAAAAGTCTTCCTATTAGGCCTCAATAAACTTTGGTTTATGTCTTACTGGTTATGTCAGTGATCAGTTCTATCTCTCATGATCACCCTACCCACAGAGAGTGATAAAAAATAACCGTTTATCTTTCCCAGCATCTACAAAGGAGGTGGCATGAGGAGTATTGTAAGTAGATGCGTGAGTTAACTGAAGAACCACATTTCTTTACTGGAAGATAATTACAAAATAGTTCAACAACAAATACACATACACACACAGGCTAGATAGAAGTATAAAACAAGTCATAACTCAAAGGATGAAACTACAGATGGTTCTTGGCAAAATATTCGCTATCTTTGTGTGTCCTTTCTTTAAACTATGCATTGTGACTCTTCTCAGCAATTGATTTTGTCTGGATATAAATAAGAGCTTAACAATGTAGATTAGCTAATTATGAATTGATCAGTAGGATTTACAAAATGAACTACCATAAATGCTTCTAGAAATCTTGTGTCTTCTTTAATATCCTTGGATAGTCAACAAAGATTTTAAAAATGTGTCTGTCTCAGTAGCTTTTCTTCCTCTACCATTCAGAGTCATATTTTGGTTATCTTAGTAGAGAAAGTGAAAATATGTTGCTTTTCTCATGCCATCTTTTCTACTTTATAGCATAAGTTCAAGAATTTTGGTAAAGCTGGGCCTCTTATGGCTAATTTGATTCATGTGATGCCTTAAATGGGGACAGGAAATTTAGGTAGGCATGAGACAGTTCCATGGGCCTGCAAATCCATTTATTATTGAGCTGGAGAATTACAGAGGTGAATGTTTCTCCCTGCAACTGGGAAGCATCTAGGGAGAGTTTTCCGAGTCCTTATGCCCTCACATGCTTTAGTTTGTATCTTTCTGATTCTGTAAGGAGCAAATTGGTGAATTATAGGTCTGTAGTGAAGGGTAATCATTTGTTAGCTTATGTAGGGTGCCTTTCCTTGATTGCAGTGTTCAGCATTGAATATATTCACTGCACCTCGGATCCATTTGTTGGAATGTAAATTATATGAAATGTTTTTGAATTTATAAAATTCAAACACACTGTTGAAAGTCATGGGTTGTGAACTAAAGGCAATGTATTTTGCTTTAAGTGAATACTTTATTAGGCTTGGCAGTAGAAAACTGTGAACATAATGTTTTTGTATACCTACTATGGTACTATTTGGTAATACTGTGGAGCCAAATAATTTGCTTATGCTAACACAATGGGAATGACAAAATATTTTATACATTTTCTAATTATTCTTTGATTTGTTCCATAATTTAAATGTATTCTCATTTATTTAGATGTTTCTGGAGTACTCAGTTTTAGAAAAATTATCATGGAACTTTTACATGTCTATAATAGAGATCTCTAGCTATACAATACAGCAGTACTTTATTTTTTTCCAGAACCCACTGAGATACTAAGGTTTGTTCTAGAACTATTGTATATCTCATGATACTTCCCCCTTCCCAAACCATCCTTAGCTTATGACACTTAAATGAAAAATTGTACAAGATTTTCCTTGCCTTACAACCTACAATCTATAAACACACTTAGCCTTCACTGATTATGAATTAACTGATGCTACAGTTTTGCTGTCACAGTTGATGAGAACCTATAATTAGTGCTCCCAGGTGTGTTTTGGGAGACATAGGACAGGTACATTCTGGGAACTCTTTCATTTCCTGATGTGCATTCTTCAGATTACAGAATTGTCAACCTGTAGGTTTTTTAGAAATGTAAAGAAAATCCCATGTAGCTAGAAAGAAGGAATTAAAGTAGCAACTTATGCCATGGTGTACATTAGTGTCCCATGTCTCATCAGATGATATTTGAATGATTGTTTTACCTGTAGACTGGTGTTTGCCTCATTCTGGGTGGTATATTGCCCAAATGCACTGGACCATCTGTGGTAAATTGTACAAAAGAGAATCTTCTTGGGCTTTGAAATACACTAATGGATTTTATGAAGATGATGGACTACATAAACTCGGGATAGGACTCACAGTGTGGCAAAAGTTTCTTTGTTCTCATTACTCTTAGGTCCCAGAGAAGTAAGGGCATTATGCTTATCTGTCCCATTTGTCTCAGTTTTTACAGAGTGAGTTATGTGGCTTTCCCAAGATCTGCAGAACAAGCACAAAGTAAAGCAATTAAAAAGGTGATTGGATGAGATATTTCTCCTTGCTGACAATGTTCTCTTTGCTTTGTTAGAGGAATGGGGTTATTCTGAAATGCCTCTATGCCTATTTTTCTCATTCTTGATATGTTCAGGAAGACAAGAAAATATTTTACCCAAATTATATAAATTGTTATTATTTCATCAACACAGTTGTGCCTCTTGACATTTGTAGAGAGACTTTTATTACTTGTTTTTGAGGCAATGCTCATAACTCCCTAGTAAATAAGAAGAGGCTTGTACATGCTCTTCATAGGTAAGATCTTTGATGTGCTCAGTAATTTCATATGCATGGGCATTAAAGAGGCACCTGGCTTGTATAAACTATGTGGAACAGTTTAAAAGAGTATGTCATTCTTTCCTTGAACATACATTTATTAAGTGTCCATTATATGCCAAACTGTCCAAGGTGTTATGAAGAAAAAGATAAATAAGATAATAGGAAAGCCTCTGCTCATGGATCTCAAAGATTAATAGCAGAAATCATGCAAACAATTAAGAACAATACAGTGCTCCAAGTATTGAAATAAATGACCTTATAAGCAGGGTGATGGCTCCTTGTAATGGATGCACCTGTAATCCTGTAATGTTACATGCAGTACCCCATATGTGCATAATTTTTTCAAGCCACATTATCGTAAGATATTAGGGTTGTAGTGTAAAGAAAGTCTTACAGCCAGGGGCCCAGGAATTTATAAACACTGTTTTGTTCCAGTTGCTTCTCTCTCATGAAGTTTCCAAATGAGCTGAACTTGATAAAGGCCGAAATTGCTTATGGGTCCTAATGCAAGGCTTTCTGAAAGACTGTATGGATACTTGGGTCCATGCCGGACTCACTGCCCTGTAGAGGTGCAGTCATCTCACCAACCATCCCGTGGATAAAATTCGGCAACCGATGACCTGGATTGTGTTCCATCAAATTAGCCACTCTTCTCTTTGGTTGCTACTAGAAGAAGATTTAAAAGGAAAATGGTGACGGACAGACAATCCATTATCTATTGATAATAGGGTAAAGAGTGGTGCCTAGGAAACATGAAACAAGCTGAGATTTAAACCTTACGTTTTCACCAAAGAAGCAGTGGCAGAGGTTTTTGGAGAAAGACTGATGGCACAGTTCCCGCTACCATAACTCTTCTTCAAGAATATCTATATCTTAATATAACATCATATATATTAACAATACCTACACATGCCTTAATATATATAATGCAGCAAGATGAGGTTGATAGATGATTTTTTTTTCAAGTACCTAGTTCTTAAATAATCTGGATTAAGAAAACATTCAAAAAACTGGTTTTGGAGGTAGCATGACATAGACAAGATAGATTTAAATATGGAAAGGCGGGATAGGATAGAATGAGTAGGTAGAAAACACTGAAGAATGGCTTGGGGGCCACTGGTGATTCAGTCAGTGTGTCAGATTATAAACAAAGGAAAATAACTGACTAGCTGTAGTAGGATCAGCAGACAAGCAGTCCCATCTAGGAAGAATGGGATTCTCTGCTACTGAGAGCCCAGAGAAGGTCATGCCACAAGAAGTCAGCTTAGATGCTGCCACTGATAGGTGACTAGTGGTTAGTGCACCTTAGCTATGCATGTCCATGAGCAGCATTGTAAATTCTTGCTCTTTGAAACCCCAGGGTCATCACATTCCTCCTTTCAGATCCAAAGTCACAGGTCAATTCAGCATCCTGGATGCCAAGTTAAAAGAGAAGGGATTGCTTGAGCACTTTCGGCTTTTTTAGCAAGAGGAAAGGGGGCTCTTTTCATTGAAATGTGTGCATTGAGACATACCACATTCCCACCCCCTAACCCCCCACACCCCCAAAGAATCCGGAACTGGTTAGTCGGAAACAAACTATAGGTGTCTACTGCATCCAGGAAGCCTTTTGTTCTGAAATCTCAAATTTATCTCCACTGTGCTGACCACACTCAGAAGCAGATGAGCAAACTGATAATCAGAAGCACAGTAGCTGTCTTAAAGACCCAGTGACTCCCAGAGAAATTTGGACAGACTTGAAATAGGAGGACAGGGGCCGGCGCCGTGGCTCACTTGGTTAATTCTCCGCCTGCAGCGCCGGCATCCCATATGAGCGCCAGGTTCTGGTGCCAGTTGCTCCTCTTCCAGTCCAGCTCTCTGCTGTGGCTCTGGAGGGCAGTGGAAGATGGCCCAAGTGCTTGGGCCCCTGCACCCTCATGGGAGACCAGGAAGAAGCACCTGGCTCCTGGCTTCAGATGGGTGCGGTGCCGGCCGTAGCGGCCATTTTGGGGGTGAACCAACGGAAGGAAGACCTTTCTCTCTGTCTCTCTCTCTCACTGTGTATAACTCTACCTGTCAAATAAATAAAAAAGGAAAAAGAAATAGGAGGACAAGTGGTAATAGTAGCAATTGGAGGTGAATGAAAAAGTCTAAGAGTGAGTCAGCCAAGTGTGTTACTGATGCAACTATAACTTGTAAAAATTCATTTAATTTTGATGGCTTTTAGTATCTTCAGCAATGAAATGCAGGAAGGATTTCTAATTGACTGTTACATATCCTCATATGCATTCATGTATTCATCAAATATTTATTTTTTATCTTCACACTAGCTAGTAATCTAGGCATTGGATAACAGTAAGCAAACCTAACTGATTTGTAACTTTCATAGAGCTTCTATTGGATATATATACTAAACTTATAGGATATATATACTAAACTTATAGGATAACTGGAGAGGGCTAATTAAATCAATAATTGTGTTTTGAATATCCTGAATTTGAAATGACTATTAAGTAACCACTTAGAAATGTCAGAGTAAAGGGAAGGACTGAAAATATAATTTTAGTGTAATAGGCATACAGTGTGGTATTTACAGTCATAAAATGGCCTTAAGTCCTACAAGTTGTGAGGATAAATTACAAAGAGGGTCAAAAACTTAATCCTTGAGTATTCTAATATTTAGGTATCTATTATTACAGACACCATTGAAAGAGAATTTGACTCCTGCGATATAGGAAGAATTGAGGACAGTTAAGGAGAAGTGGTTCAAATCTATCAAATGCACCTTTGTGTGTGCTTTCAGTTAAGTGCTATTGATGAGAACGCATCTGAAAGAAGTGGGGAACACAATGGAAGATGAGAATGTGGAAACACAAAGTATGCTCAATACTATTAGGAATATTGTTAAACCACTGGTGCCATATGCTGAAGTCACCGTCATAGATCTCTTCTAATTATAGGGAGAACCTTTGTATTCTAGGGTCAGAGTCTTCATATAGTTGCATCTATATCATATGTCTTTGCTGTGAAACAAGGACAGGTAAAAGGGAAGTTCGATAAAGGTGGTGTCCTAGCTCCAAACAAGACTCACATAATGGGAGATTATCTAAATGAAAAGCGGATTTTCAGATATTGTGTCTGCATTGTATCTTTTGCACTCATTGTGATCTCTCATTCCAAATGCAACTACAATCATTTTGACCACCATTCTTCAACATCTGTCTAGTAGTTTTTTTCTTCCTCCAGCTTCTGTCTGTTATGAGTCATTACTATATTAGATTAGTTTTCATCTGTGTCTCTGATCATCGCACCTCCAGATAGAAAATACTCAATCTTTCCCCTAATTTTCTATTTATTTCAGAATAAATTTCTATTTATTTCAGAATAAAATCCAAATTCCATAATCGGGAGTCTAAAGCACTTCATGATTAATTCACAGCCAGTTTTTTTTTTTAAGTTTTTATTTTCTGATTTTTTTAAAGTACCCTCCACAACAAGACTGAATTATCATTTAAGGTGGATTTTTATTTTTGCATAATGCTACTCAGTTACCATTTCTAAAAGTGTCCCCATGTTTCTGTCTACTCTTCGAGTAAACCTCCTAGAATTCTACTCCAGGAGGAAATCCATTTTCCATACTGGATGCACAACATCATTGAGAATTTTGTATGTATATGGGGGTATATATGACACACATAACATATACATACATGCATTACATAACAGTAGCAAGGATATATTCTGACAAATGTGTCATTAGGCAATTTAGTTGTACAAATATTATAAAGTATATACAAACTAAGATGGCTGCAACATCACTAGGTATGACAATATTATGGTACTACTATCATATATGCAGTTTATGATTGATAGAAACATTTTTATGTGGCCAATTTGTATGTATACATAGAGACTTCTTTGTTAATTTCATTTTAATTTTTGGATTACCCAGTCTTTAGGCTTGAGCATTTTGCATCCTACAGCTCTGTAGAAAACTATAGCCCTTTCTCAGTTGGCCCAAGATATTCATGATTTTCCAGGGGTTAAAATTTCTTGATCACTTCTGCCTCTGAATCTCTTGAATGTTGTCTTTTTATCATTTAATTCAAGTGAAACATATCCTTGTGTTGTTTCTCACACAAATAAAAATCAGTTAAACAAATGAACGACAAAAACCTACTGAAGATGTGGTTACAAGGAAGGATCTGGTTTTCCCAACACACAAACTGGATTTTTGATTGCATATTTGACAGTCCTATGCTTAAATAGTCTTTTGTTTGTTCCACAGCGAAAAGGTTCCAAATTTCCCCCATATGTAGCAACTATTTTTATACTACCTTCTGAGAAGGCCACTTCCTTTCATTATTTAACTTTTGATTACAGTTCAAATTTTTTTCTTGGTTACCAGGTTTCTAAGCCATCTATGATTTGGGCTTCATCCTTTGTATAGAGTGGCCTATCCTACCATGTATACTAAAATCATTCACTTCACAAAGGGCACTCTTAAATGTTAGCTGTTAAATTTTTTTACCTGATTATGAGTTTATAATACTCATATTTCACTAGGCAAAAAAATTTTCAGCACTTAGAATCATATATATGTGTTCTGACATATGGGGCATTGAGTAAATTAGGATGAATGTGTGAATGCTTCTTAGTGTTTTTCTATCAGGTGAAGTTTTTTTTTGTTTTGTTTTGTTTTGTTTCTATTTTTGACAGGTAGAGTTGTAGGCAGTGAGAGAGAGACAGAGAGAAATGTCTTCCTTCCGTTGGTTCACTCCCCAAATGGCTGCTATGGCCGGCACTGCACCAATCCGAAGCCAGGAGCCAGGTACCTCCTCCTGGTCTCCCAGGCGGGTGCAGGGCCCCAGGCACTTGGACCATCCTCCACTGCCCTCCCGGGGCACAGCAGAGAGCTGGCCTGGAAGAGGAGCAAACAGGACTAGAACTGGGTGCCCATATGGGATGCCGGCGCTGCAGGCAGAGAATTAACCAAGTGAGCCATGGGAACAAAGTGTTTATTTTTGTATTTCTCCAAGTAGTTTATTCAAAACTCAGCAGAAATGCATAAGAATGGGTCTAAATATTATTTATAGTAAGTAAATCATGTATCTAGTTGAATAAATATTTATTTAAAAAGAGTGAGCAGAGACCATGAGTTCTGGTGGGAGAGACATCAGGTTGGGTTGAGATGGCAGTCAAGGACATTTCTGTTTGCACCAGTGTGTTGGTTGAAGTTTGTGTTGGTTTCTGTTTGCTGTTACTTCTGTATTTAAATTAAAGACAATAAAGTCTTCAGGACTCAGGAAACCTAGGTATATTGCTCACTGATACACAATGGCATTCATATAGAAGCTGCTTCCACCATTCTCATTGGTTTCCCAGGATGTGTCAGGTCTCCCCTGTGGGACAATACTACCTCCTCCTGGCAGACACTGCCTTGTGTTCCATATATAGCTCCACAGTACTTAGGTGTTCAATCAATTTTTGTTAAAGTGAATTGATTAGAATTGGGAAGTCCTATGAGTTTCTGGGTATTGACTCTCATCTTTGTTCCACTTTAGAAATGGCAAAATCTTTTATGTTCTCCAGAGACGAAAGCATATACCCAGTGCTTCTAAGTAAAGACTTTTTTTTTCTACATTGAATATTGAAAAATTGAAGAAAACAAATGAAAATGAATGAAATCTATAAAGATGAAATAATGGAATATCCTTTTTTAGATGAATCAACAAAACCAATACTCTAAAGACAGGGTATTTAATCAAATAAATAAATCAAATGCTAAGTTAAATTAAAGGCCATCAAAGAGAAATAGTTTTTCAGATCTTTAACAAGGATGAAAAATTGAACCATATGTCAGAAATAAGAATGTTTTGTTTTTGTATAACATAGCAATGTTTCTCAAAATGTGGCTTGCATGAAAAATAGTCCAGGGAGGGAGAGCTCTTACTCCTCGAAAGAGAGAGGCTGTTTAGCTAGAGCAGCGCCTGTGATAGGCAGATTCTCGAATGGGAAAACAAGTGTTTTGTTTTGAAATCTGCTAGTAAGATCCATGCAAATAGAAGACGAAGTAGTTTATAAAATAAAAATTCACTTTAGATACTCAAATAGGTAATAGAGATGCTTTAGAAATGTTTTAATCCCCACTCTCCAAATTAATATGCTCGAGTGCCATTATAATGCCTGAAACAGGGAATAAAGCATTTTGGATCTGTTTTCAACCAGCTGAATTTGGATTTCAGACACCACTACTCAATCCCTGAGTAACATAAGCAAGTCACCCACAATAGTCTCAAATTCAGTGCCTTAATTTATGAAATAAGGGGAGCAATACTTTCTTCAAAGCATTAGTAGATTTTTTTCTATACAGGCCAGAAAGTAAATATTTTGAGTTTCATGGGCTAGATAGTTTGTTACACCTCAACCCTGCCATGGTAGTATAAAAGTAGTCATGGACAGTGTATGAATGAACCATGGCTGTATTCTGATCAAGCTTCATTAGCAAGAATAGACGATGACCTAAGTTTGCCCTGTGGACCAGTCAGCTAACCCATGTCAGGCACTGACTTGAGTGGTGGCAATGGTCACAAATAAACCAGATACAGTAGATAACCCGCATAATATCTGCCATATAGAGAATCTTGAATAAATGCATTGACCCAGTGCATCAGTTGAGAAATCAAAGAGTAGATTTGACCTGATGAGTATAATTACTATCTCCAAACTTAGTATTTTTCTATTTCACACACCACTTTTTGTTTTTATGAGATCACTTCATAGTCCCCACTGAAGTCCCAAATTTAAAAAGGCATTACCATTGTGCAGTTAGAAGTTTGTTAAACTCTTTTCTTAAAACATTTCTGAAACAATTGGCTTAGGATACTCAGGAAAGCTCAATGCTGGGACTTAGACAAAATTCTCTATAACATTCTTCACTTAGCAGTGCTCCATGGATGAGAACTAGAACATAGGAATGAAGTTTTATAATAAAATAATTTTGAGAAAAGATGTTTTTATTACATAAGTCCCCACAGTCTTTGATGTTAAAAAGGGGTTGAGGGGGCCTGCATGTGGCATAGAGGGTAAACCCACAGCCTGCAATGCCAGTATCTCATTTGGGCACCAGTTCCATGACCCGGCTGCTCTACTTCCAGTCCAGTTCCCTGCTAATGGCCTGGGGAAAGGAGTAGAAGATGCCCCAAGTGTTTGGGCTCCTTCCACCATCGTCTGAGACGTGGATAATGCTCTTAGCTTCAGCCTGGCCCGGTGCTGGCCATTGTGATCTGGTGGGTGCAAGAGGACTACATTCTGCAATTTCCCAAGTATTGTTTAGGACATTTTAAAATTAAATTTCACACATCTGCAACAATTTGGCGAATGCAGTCTTTGGAAAAAAAACTGTTTGGGTAAACCCTATTCTGTAATATAAATTGAATTTTGGTAATTTTGGTAAATATGAAATAAATGGTGGGAATTCACACCTCTGAAAAGGAACTTGGTAAACCTAGGCAAGCAAGGTGCTAGCAATTTACTGTTAAAATTCTTTAACTTTTTCATTCAACCATTTCTTCTTTCACTTATTCAATGGCATTTCATTATTGTTTTCTTTTCAAGGTAGAACAGTATTCTTTCAGAAAGTAAGAGGCAGCTTTATGAATAGAAAGTTTAGAGATTCTAAAATAAATGGCTAAAATCTGAGCCTCTTTGTTTCACATCTATAAAAATCTTACTGGGTTTCATGGGAAGATAAACTTTTATTTCCAAAGGAACTTGAAAGTTATATGAAGATAAAAGAGGCGCTATAGTGAGTGAAGTAGAGTAACATTTGGCAATAACCTGCTGGAGATCTCATCTGAATTAGAAAGAACTCTGATAACAGATCTCTTATAGTTTAGATCCACAGAAGCCTGAAATAGGGTTGAGTCATCCTAGTTGAAACCAATATTCTTGAATTAGAGTCATTTGAAAGGTTTGATCATAAATTTTATTTAAGCAGAAATAAGGGAGATGAATGATTTTCAGGTAGTCCTCTGAGTGTCTAACAGCACACTTCTCCTTTGGACTTGAAGAAACACTGGAAAACACAAACTAGTTCAACTAGGAAACTTCCCTAAATTCAATATCACCGATCACCATTATTTCTGTCACAAGGCTTTCCTGTGATGTTGGTACCAGAGAGGACACAAATAGTTTTATGAGTATCCTGATATAGAGAAACAAGTATCTTCTAATTCTTAATGTCTTTCACCCTTCTCATTCTCACCCCCTGCCACACACATGCATAGTGGTTAACTTTTCAGAACTGTTTTCAGTATAATAATTTTAACTGCATTTTTATTCTTGTACAAAATCAGCCCAAAACAATACTATTTATAGGACAACTGAGACAAGAAGCTGGATCTATACTCTGATAAACTGTGGAATTTAATGATGCCTTTATATGTTACGGATGTGTAGTAATCTGTGTTTCTACAGTGTTTGATGTTAAATGTACTTAGAACAATCAATTAAGGTTTACTTTTCAATATAAAGTAGAATTGGTGACTAAGACCACCCAACCCAAAATTGAGAGTGTTGAACCATTTTTAGATTAATATAAATTTTCCAGTAGCAATATAGAAGAGAATTACACATCCCAAATACTTAGCTATGTTAATTCTATGGTTAAAATTCAGGCAGGGAGAATATATGTAATAGTGTGCAAAGCAATTTCTGTAAGATGGGTGAAACATGGCCTTCTCTTAAATTAAAATATTTTTTTTATTTGACAGGTAGAGTTAGACACTGAGATAGACAGAGAGAAAGTTCTTCCTTCCATTGGTTCACTCCCCAAATGGCCGCCGCAGCCAGTGCTGCACCGATCCGAAGCCAGGAGCCAGGTGCTTCTTCCTGGTCTCCCATGAGGGTGCAGGGGCCCAAGCACTTGGGCCATCCTCCACTGCCTTCGTGGGCCACAGCAGAGAGCTGGCCTGGAAGAGGAGCAACCGGGAATAGAAGCCTGCACTGATATAGGTTACCGGTGCCACAGGCGGAGGATTAACCAAGTGAGCCATTGCGCTGGCCTTTAAATTAAAATCTTAAAAAATTCTAAATCCCCCTAGAAATGGATTGGAACAAGGCTGGGTGGAGAGTGTGACTTGACCTTCAGATTAAAATTGTAGGTTTGTGAAGACTGAGGAGGACCTATCTACCCAGCTCGGTAGGTAACTCAAGATGATGGAAATAGAATCAGAAGACATGCTATTCCTTAGAGAACAGCTGCCCAAATCCACAAAGAGGATATTTTTGCTTTCTCCTTATGTGACAGACAAGTAACACCATTCCAGGATCTATCATTATTAATATCACATATGAAATGAAAATGGTCCAATTCAGAGCACACAATTCTCATTATTTTTTCAGTCTGTAACCCTTGAAAACTGGATATCAATTGCATTCATTCCTTTTCTTCATACAGCATTGAAAAATGGAGAGGATAAAATGCTGAGAAATATTTAGGAAAGAACCTGAAGTTAATTGATGGAATTAATGACAGAAATACAAAATGAATTGTGAAAAAGAAAAGTAACTTAATCTTAATAAGCCCAGCAGAGCCAGTGTAATTAAATAGCAGCTGTGGTATCTTTTAATTATTTTCCCTAAACAGCACTATCATTATATATGACCAAGAAATAACTTTTCTGTATTTATTTGGCGAAGTAGCAAAAAAACAAATTGAAACTTACATTATCAATTGCAAAAATGGCATTACTGTGGATTGGAAGTAATTTGAAATTACACCTAATAGAACAAAGCACACTCCAAATTAATGTATAGTGCTACTAGGAAATAAATGAGTTCTTCACTCTTAAGTCTTTTGTTTTAAGGAGAACCTTTAGCAATGGAAGCCAAATAATTGTCCTTAAAACCATGGAATGAATCAAAGCAACCATCATTGGCATTCATGATTATCGGAGAAGATTTTCTTCTCTTTGAATCATTCTTTCTTTATGCAATGCAGGCAGCAAAGCCCTGTTGTATGACATAGAGCCTTTTAGGTCATTTCCTTGATGAAACTTTCACATCACTATTCTCTATTTTCTGATTTCTTCTTTTCCATTGCATTTTCTCTCTCTCCTACTTCTTACAATTGCTGTTTGTGTACCTGCTTCCAACCATTGGTAAGACTGAATATGATATGTCTTGTAAACAAGGAACTGCTTTTAGATAAGTCATTGCATGGGGACTTCTCCAATGTTTACCTGTGAATTATGACCTGTTAGCTTGGCAAAAACTTTGCCTTTCCTGAGAAATGTCTTTCTGAGAAAGATATTGATTGAGGATGGACCCCTGCCTGGCAGTATTTGTACAATTTAAATTTACTTGAGGGTTTTCAAATGTACTCTCCCTTTTATGGTAAGAGATGACTGAAAGAAAAGCTAATTCATTTTAAATAAAGAGTTCTTAGTTGACAGTAGAAGCATAGCTCACCAAAAGGGTAATAACTTTTTCTGAGTTAGCAGTTATTAGATCAAATTGGAACAGGCACCTACATATACATTAGTATTCTATATTATTTACTGTCAATAGTCTGTTCGTATAATTCCCTGCATGTGAATGGTATTTTCCTGCTTACTTAATTTGAAAAAAACGTAATTCAAAGCAATCATAGATTCTGTCATCTTATGTTCTTGCTAAATGTTCTAATTTGTCTTCTCATTCTTAAGCATCATTATTCATTTCTAGTTAGTAGGAAATATATCATTCATCTCAAGCTGTTGCTTTCAGAGTGATGGTCAAACATAGCTTTTTATTTGCTGGTGTCCTTTGGTGAAACTTAGATGTCCTTCCAAGTCTGTCTCAAATATTCACTCCTTAGTAAGATGTTCCTCTTCATGTGCATTGTTATTGACTTCTAAGTTTAAGCCTCTTTTTTGGCCTTGTGTTTAATTTATTCCTAGATTATTTTCTTTTTCCACTGTCATGCTTTTCAAATCTGACACTATCGCCTGAGCAAGTGAAACACCACTTCACATCATGGGAGAAATAGACTAGACCTCTCCTCTTGGCTCATATTATGTGGCAAATGTGTTGAGCTGAGAGATATCTGAGCTTTGGGTTAAAAGATAATGGGTTGAGGAATTAGTTTTAAATTCTATGCATGTAACTTGGAGAAAGGATAATCTGAGTGTCTGTTATCTAAACCTGTGACTCCTCTCAGCATACTGTGGATGAGGTCCATTATACATCACATTTATTGAAAATAATACAACTGTATGTTTTCATTATGTTCTAGAACATTTTACATCATGTGTAAATCTGTCTTCAAAGATACAGGATCTTGGGGGTTAGCACTGTGGCTCAGTGTGTTAAAGCCTTGGTCTGTGCTGCCAGCATCCCTTATGGGCACCTGTTCAGGTCCTAGCTGCTCCACTTCCAATTCTCAGCTCTCTGCTAATGTGCCTGGGAGAACAGTGGAGGATGGCAAAAGTCCTTCAGCCCCTGCACCCATGTGGGAGACCCGGAAGAAGCTCTTGGCTTTGGACTGTCTTGTGGCCATTTGGAGAGTGATCAAGTAAATGAACAATTTCTCTCTCTCTCCCTCTCCCTCTCCCTCCTTCTCTCTCCACTTCCCCCACCCCGTAACTTGGTCTTTCAAATAAATCATTTAAAAAAAAAAAAACTTACAGGAATCTTCAAATGCAACTGGCAAAGAGGAGGGAAGAAGGTCTAGAGCATATGAAATAGGACTGGGATCTAAATGGAATATAGGAATGGTTCCCAAGGTCAGGATCAGAATGGCTTTGTAACTATTTGGCAGCACAACATAAACAGTGCACAAAAGGGGCTAATGAACTCAAGCTAGGTTTAAGCCAGTGCATATGTCCGTATGTCGAAGAAAGGCTACTGTTGGTTAATAGGTCTTGGGAGCAGTGATGCGTACGGTATGATAACACTAGATGTCATATTGATGAAAGCTTGACAGACTGATAGTATTCAAAAAGTCATTATTTCTATGGAAGAACCCAGCCAAAAAATAATATTAGGAGAGTCGGGTGTATCTAAGGTGAAGAGAGGGTATCAGGGAACCATTTAGTTCAGCTGGGCTCCAGCTATATCTTCAGTTTTACAATAAGTCAAAGAAATTCCATTGTATGCATTAGGCCAATATGAGAGGTAAGTTCTATTTAAATAGGCTAAATAAGCACACTGCCTCATGTGCATATCCTAGCCAGACTTATGACATGTTAACACTATGATAAAATATCTAAAGTTCAAATTAACATCATAGTGTCTCCATTTTTCGTGTCCATCTTCAGTTTAGATCATGGATTCTTCAGAGCAGACATAAAATTCCTTTCGGTTCGGAATCTCAGTGCCTAGGCCGATGCCCAACACAAGCACACAAGAAATGCTTATGGACAAGTGAATGAATGAGAGAACTAACAAAGCCGTATTCCAAGGACGTAAGATACAACTCTGAAAATGCATGCCTTCATCACTTAATTAAGCAGGGTTCAAGCTAGGGATGATTTAATGTCTGTGACAGATGGTGGGCTCTGGATGAGGAAGAAGTCAAGGCTGTCTTCTCCCCCATCCTCTGCTTCTTTCTGAACCAACAGGATGTGAAACTCTGTCCTAAGAACACAGTGCCGCGTGCCGCCATGAGTGTGCTTCCTTCTGGTGTGGTGCTAGCAAAACAATGGCTAGCATATATCCTAGTGGTAGAAGGTTCTTGCTCTGTGATATTGCCCCATGATGTCTTGTGAGTGTGACTGTTTCATTGTGGAGCTCAATAAAACTGTCCAGGAAGGGAAAATAAAAAAGGTATTCGTGTTCTTTTTTCGCTCACATCAGATTTTTTTTTTCACTGAGGACTTTAATGAGAAAGAGTCTGAAAACTAGTATTCTTCATGGAATTTTTCTGTTCTGGCATCATATTGGTTTACCACAATCCTATCGGTTTTCTAGATAATTAGCACTTTGCTGTGGGAGGTGTTAATGGCTGCATTCATTTGGAGGCTGTTTGGATTAATTGTGCAGTTGATGATCCTGAACTGTTCAGGCCCGAACTTCATTGCCATAAATACAGAGGAGTGCTTGTCCTCAACTTGTAACAAGGAATGCATTTTGTCAAACTGCTTCTTAAAATCCAAAATTTGGGACTTAAGTAATACTTTTTTAAAAAAAATTTTTGGCTTAATCTTCACACCTACTTATTTCAGAGTGTTGAATTACCAAGTAAGCCAGGAGAAGATTATACTAAAAATGGGACTTTCATATTTGAGAAGGTATTGAACAGAGATTTTGCAGAAACCTCATGGGATTTTATTCAAAATATAACTTGATTAATTTTCAATAATACTCTCTGGTTTTGGAAAACTGCCTCTGAAAGTCTCTCTTTTTCTTCCTGATGTATGTAAAGATGTTTTAGCTTCTTTAATTTTTTTAAAGTAGTGTTACAGAGGATTATTGAAGATCTAAATCCCTGGTGAATGCTGTTGGTTTAAGTTTCTGAAAAGATTTATGATAACAGTTGTTTTGGAAAAGTATGTTCAAGCATAAAATTCTACTAAATCCAACTATTTGGCCCAAAATGTGCCGAGTGCCTACTCTGTATAATGCTTGTCAGATGTTCCAGACAAAATTGATTATAATTTGAAGTTAGCGCAGTCAGTCCAGCTTTGTTTTTCTCAAGCAGGATGCAGGAGACCTGGTTCATCCCTCAGATTCCTGCAAGGGCTGGGACTGTGCCTGGGCTGGGAAGCTGAGTACTGGGAACACAGCCCAGGTCTTCTACAGGTGAGGCAGGAACCCTGAGTGACATCAAGATCTTTGAGAAGATCTGGGGGCAGGTCAGGCACCCTAAGCTAAGGTTGCCTGAAGTAGCAGGTTCTTGGAATTCTCAAGTCAAGGAGGTATGCGACCAAGAAGGGCAACTATAGCATTACCCAAGGTTCTCGGGTAAGATGTGCAGGAGGATGAGACACAGAGACTCCAGAATGAAGAGGGCTCACAGAAGAAATGACTCTCCCTCTACCTGGACTCTTCTCCTGACATCTCTAGCATGCCACCTCCTGTCACCTGTGTCTCCTCCTGGGGAGGCTTTTACTGCTAATCCATTATGAATCAGCACTGCCCACACATTTTCTAGCCCCCCCCCCCATATAATTTTCTTTTTAACACTACTTAGCAAGGTCCTAGAGGACATCAAAAAGTTCATGGAAAATGGAATTAAAAGATGTTTATTTTCGTGCAAAAAATACTGTGATATCCATGCATACAAGGGCTCTTCAAAACACTCATGGAGGGAGCCATTGTGACATATTGGGTTAAGACCCCCCCTGTGATGCTGGCATCCAAATTGGAAGCCAGTTCAAATCCTGACTATTCCACTTCTGATCCAGCTGCCTACTGATGTGCCTGGGAAAGCAGTGGAGGGTGGGCCAAGTGAACTAATGTGCGAGACCAGGAAGAAGTTCTTGGATTGAGCTCAGCCCAGCCCTGGCTGTGGTAGACATTTGGGGAAAGAACTGGCAGACAAAAGATTTCTCTGTCTCTCCTCTTATAATTCTGCCATTATGTTAAATAAATATGTCTTTAAACACTTGGGGCAGGTGCTGTGGCATAGTGCTGCTGAGTCGTCTGTTCCACTTCCAATGCAGCTCTCCGCTATGGCCTGGCAAAGCAGTAGAAGATGGTACAAGTCCTTGGGGCCCTGAACCAGTGTGGGAGACACAGAAGAAGCTCCTGGTTTTGGGTCAGCTCAGCTCTGGCTGTTGAGGTCATTTGGGGCCAGCGCTGTGGCATAGCAGGTTAATACCCTGGCCTGAAGTGCCAGCATCCCATATGGGCAGCCAGTTCAAAAGCCAGCTGCTCCACTTCCCATCCAGCTCTCTGCTATGGCCTGGGAAAGCAGTAGAAGATGGCCCAAGTCCTCGGGCCCCTGCACCTGCGTGGGAGACCCGGAAGCAGCTCCTGGCTTCAGATTGGCACAGCTCTGGCTGTTGCCGCTATCTGGGGAGTAACCAGTGGATAAAAGTATTTCTCTGTCTTTCTGGCTCTGCTAGCTCTGTGTAACTCTGACTTTCAAATAAATAAATAAATCTTTAAAAAATTAAATCTTGAAAAAAACTCATGAAAAATGTGCATTATGAGAAAACTGCATGAATTTCAAAAATTATTGCAACAAAATAATTTATTTTTAATTCCATTTTTTCCACAAGCCATTTGAAATACCTTGTATAACAAATGGTTATATATTTGTTAATCTTTTTAAGATTTATTTATTTGAAAGGCAGAGAGGCAGAGAGAGAGAGGTCTTCTATCTGATGGTTCAGTCCCCAAATGGCCACAATGGCCAGAGCTGAGTTGATCCGAAATCAGGAGCCAGGAGCTTCTTCTGGGTCTCCCATGTGGGTTCAGGGAGCCAAGAACTTGGACCATCTTCTGCTGTATTCCCAGGCCATAGCAGAGAGCTGGAAAGTAAGTGGAGCAGCCGGGACTAGAACTGGCAGACATATGGGATGCCAGCACTGCAGTTGGCGGCTTTACCTGCTGTGCCACAGTACTATATTTATCTTTTGCCACTAAAACAAAAACAAAGCCTCTTGAGGGGAGGGTCTTGATGAATTTTGTTCATCTCTGTTTTTCTGGCGTTTAGATCAGTGGTTGACAGGTACTAGGGCCTGCTGAGTGAATGTATTTGTTCTGAGAAATAAATGATCCCAGAATGCCTGCCTGTAGGAAAGTGGGAAAGTTGAATTAGGACCACAGGCAACAATGAGTGAAGGGTAACTAGTAGCAATAGGAAGGGTTGCAGGTAGGTGGGAGGGCAGAAATACTTTTAGAATTAAAATGATAAATATCAAACTCCAAGATCTTTGACAAGTGCTGGGGGGTGGGGGGAATGGATGAGTCATGAGGCCTAAGGTGCCATTCAAATTCATGAGGATGAGAAGTTGTAGAACAAGATTCCAGGAGAGAAATCTCTGAAGTTGCTCTGAATTTTCGGGGTAGGAGAGGGGGAAACCTGGGCTCAGTGTTTTGAAGCAGCAGGTCAGAAATAAATACCCCCAAGGACAGGGCTGGAAGAGGAGAACCAGCCTTTCCTGAGGGCCTCCCAGGGCCCATGTATCCTTGCCTCTGGCTTCTGGGGAGAACTAGGATGCTCGGAGGGTGAAATGCTCAGTTACGCGAGAATCCACACAGCCGCAGTTAGACCAGTTTTGTGGTACAAAGTCCCACGCTTGCACTACAAGATCCTCCCCTGCTCAGTTTTCCCTTCTGAGTTCCACATCCCCCATTCTGTTTGTTTCTTTCTTCCTTTTAACTGATTGTCCTAAATAGGAAATATTTTAGAAGTTTTTTAAAGCCATTCGAAGTCATTTTTCTCTCTTCTCTCCTAGTTTGGAGGGAAGATTTGAGAAAGCTCAAAAGACTACAAGTAAACTACTTTCCAGGATCAGCAGGGTTTTTAGCTAGTATTTTTGGTGCATAAAGGGGAAAAAAAAGCACCTGAGAACAAATCACAGTAATAAAAGAAAATGGTGTCAACATTTGTTTGAAAAATAAATGCATTATAACTTAAATTTCTAGAATTTAGCCAAGGAAAATTATATCTCCATTAACTTAAAATACCTTCGTTCCTAAAGATTTAGCTACTGCCTGCAAAATGCCCCATGTGACATACTTAGGAGTTATGGGGATAATGGTTGTTAAGAAAATCTCTAGGAGGTTCCAAAAGGATTGAAATGATTTAGGCATAAAATAGAATTTTAGCTGAGTTTATAGCAATGCTGCAATATGTATTTTTAATTTTGCGCATGGGGATTGACTATAGGACAAAATAAGATTTCCAAAAAACATGGAGTCTGTTATAAAGGCAAAATGCAGCTGTGTGTTCTGTTATACCACTGATTACACATTTGCAATGAAGGTGACATGCCTATTGTATAGGTATGCCTACAAGTTGCCTAACTGTTCATGAGATCCCTAGTTAAGATTAGGTCTGATGGAAATGTAGTCAATGTAGTCATGACTTTTTCATTGCCTGTATGATGCACATTTTCATTACTTTTAGTTTTGTAAAACTTTGTGTATTGCATATTTCTGAGATTAGTTCTTTAATAAGTCAGTGGCAGCTCTCAATTAGGAACTTTCAAATTAAGTTGGCTCTCCACGGGAACATGGAATATCCTACAGAGAAAAAAATCATCTACTTATTCAAAAACATGTATTTATCAATGTGTACATATTTGATATTTCCCTATGATCTGAATACACAGGAATGAAAAAAGGTAAAATATCCCTACCCTCCTGGAGCTTAAATCCAGTAAAGGTGAGAGAACACACACACCTACCCACCCACCCACCCACCCAGAATTCCCCTTAAATAAGAGTTATAAAGAAAATGGGCTCTAAGGGATGAGAAAATGCTAGGAAAGTGAGAATCAGAGCGATGCTAACTTAGGTTGTTAAATAAAATCTGACTCTAAAAGTATGACTTTTGAACAGGATTAATTTAGACAAGTAGGAATAAGAGGAGATAAGTTATTGGACTTATGAAGAAATAACTTATTAGAGGACAACTGTTTTTGCAAAATAACTTTTAGGCTATTTCAAGTGATATTTATACTGCATAGCAGTAAAAGGATTACCATGCTCCTGTTGAAGGTGGTGAATCTGATATTCAGGAAGATTGACTGATTTTCCCAAGATAATCCAACATCTAATTGAGTCAGGATTAAAATGCAGATCTCTGTGGTTTCAGAAAAACATGTTCTTTCTATTATACTAAGCTATCTCTTGAATCATATATACTCATCTTTTAATATCATTCTTTTCTCTGAAAAATAGCTCTGTGTAAAATGAGACTTTTTTAGACAATTGCCTCTATTGTCTCTTTACAGAAGCTGTGTTCGAATTTTTTACTCTCAGCGTATATTTTCTCCTGTGTGTCAGTAGTTGCTGGATGCTAGAGACAGAGTTGCTCCAGGGAGTCCTAAACTAGAGAAGGGGAAAAACAGACAAAGACACATTTTAAGGAACTGTGACAGATGCTAAAATAGGTTCAATATGGGAGACAGATAGGAACTGTAATCTGGAAGGTGAAAAAGAGAAGAAGGGAGAGCATCTCAAGTAGAAGTGATAAAGGTCTGCGTCTTGAAAGACTTAGCCAGGGAGGAATGCCTTGTATTATATTATATTCTTACAGTCTTTTGTAGCAAATTAACTAAAAATGAGAAGTCAAAACCAACAGCGTTTCCTTCTCTCATGATTTTGGGTGCTAGAAATACAAAATCGGTATCTGTGGGCTGAAATCAAGGCTGAGCCAATCTCTTTTTTGGAGACCCTGGAAGAGAAACTGTTCCCTAGAGTCTCTTAGTTTCTGTGATGGCTATTGGCATTCCGTGCCTTAGGGCTGCGTTGCTTCAAGTTCTGTCTCATTCTTCACATGCCCTGTTCCTCTGCTTGTGTGAAGTTTCCTTCTGCCCCTCTCTTATGAGCTTATGTGCAATTGTATTTAGGACTCACTCAGATAAATAAGAGCCTCCTTATTCAGAATTCTTAGCTGACCTATATAAAAAGGCCCTTTCTTCCCTCCATTCTACTACCTTCCTTTACCTTCTCCCTTTTTCTTTCTGTTTCACGCCATAGAAGCTTACACTTACAGATTCTAGAGGCTGAGATGTAGTTACCTATTTAGGAGGGGCATTTTTTCAGCCTACAATAAGAATCAAACAAAGTGTCATGCACATAAATCAGGTTTTTGGAGGCCTTAGGCCACCAATTACTGCATTCAGAATGAGGAGCTGACCGGGTCTAGGGAAGTCATTGAATTGTGTTGACTTTGCACTTATTTTTGGAAATACTGTACACCACTCATTAATTGCATTATATGTTATTTGGTTAATCTGTGTGCTAGAAACCAGGAGAGTATAATGGTAGGACAATAACTGTGGTCTCTGTCCATCTAGAGATTGCAATGTAGGTGAAAATAGGCCACTAAAAAAATCAAATGGGCAAACTATGCAAATAGACCCTGATAAATGCTTGGGATGGAAATACAAGATTCCATTGGTACTGACAAGTCAGAGGAAACAAAAGAAAATTCTGATCATGTTCCATAGTGATACATAATGTATAGAAAGGTTTTTAGCTAGTCCATCCTTTATGTAATACTTCCCCAGTCCCTAGTTCATTTTTAGGTTGTTTTTCTCTACTGAAGCCTAATTCTATTTTCTGTATCTTATATCCCCAGAAATTTATTTTCATGATATTCTTGAGGATGCAACATGAGAATTGAGATCTAATGGATGTGTCACAGGATGTGTCATTACTAGTAAAAATTTGGAGGTAACAGAAGAGCATTCTGGGAAGGCATTAAAGTGCACTGAATGGATAAAACTGAGACCAGTGCAGCTACTTTGCAGACAGAGAGCAAGATGGGTGGCATGAGATGCACCAGGAACCATGGGCAGAAGTGGTGATGAAGGGCTTTCTAGGCTACACTCAGCTGCTGCTTAAAATATAAGCATTGGGAAATAAGGGAATAGAATTTGGGGGTTCTGTTTTGCTATTTTCTGCTTTTGCAATTTCATCTACAGTAAAATTCCCTTTTTGGGGTACTGTTTGACAAAATCGCATATATTCATGGTAACAACATCCATAATCAAGATATGAACCGTTCCGGCACTCCTACATTTCTTCATGCTACCCATTTGTGGTTAGCACCTCTTTCCCATGGCCCTTAGTGAACATATTAAACACAGAGGTCTTGCAGCCATGTAGAAGATCAGTTGCAGAGACAAACTAACATTCAAGTGAAAAAAGTCATGGCCTGCTCTCATGGTAGCAAATTGGGGTAGGCATAAATTCAAGAGCTGCTTAGGATTTGCAATCAAGAGAACTCAGGGAAGTTAGATATTTTAAACTGGGGAGTGAGATTCCAGGTCTCTGTCTTTAGTAGCTAGAAAACTAACAGGGAACTTCAAGGGGTGGAGAGAACAATGTTGCAATTAGGATGAGGCAGTGGTTGAGTTCTGTTTGTGGTGGAGTAAGACATTCAGAACTTGTTGGTGGTTTGTGGCTTTTGCATCCTAATCTCATTAGATAGGTTGAACTAAAGATTTGTATTGGTTAGATGGGAAATTCTGAAAGAATATTAGCCCTTTTCTCACACATAGCAGTTTTTGTAAGTTTAAAAACTATTAACAGTATTCATTTTGTATAATCTTAATGCTCAGAATTGTTTTAACTGTATGTGAATTTAGTCTTAGACACAACCTAAAAGTAAACCACATTTCTATTTTACAGATGGGAAGAGAAAAGTATAGAGAAATTAAGAAATAGGCTATGGTTTCACAACTAGTTAACACTAAGAAGTTGGTAATGTACATGCAATAGATAGGTAACTCAATTACTAAAGACTTCTTCAGATACATTTTATTAGATGGTTAAGATAGAAGTACTTACTGTACTAAATTAATCATAATTGTCTAAAGCTTTTAACTCTATAAATGCAATGTGTATTTATGCCCTCTTCCACCTTATCTGCCATCAAGCTAGGAGAAGAGCAGAAGCTGGAAGATTGTTTTAAATATTTATACCCAATTCTAATGTGCCCTTTCTTTCCCCTTTCACAATTACACATCACCACTGACAAACACTTGGAGGTTGACAACCACAGGGTTTGTGGTTCGTGTTCTGAGGTTATTGATTCATTGTGAATATTAATGGATCTTAGAAGTATGCAGCAAGTAGGTATTGAACAAACAACTGTGGAATTAATTGTATCGGCAACATTGTAAGAGTATGTGCCCAGGTGCTAATGACCAAAAACAGTGGAAGTATAGCATAAGTCTGCTTTATGTGGACCATTTGTTAGCTATCAGTATTACAGCATGGGGTTTATAGGCATACTCTTTGATGAAGAGTGAAAATCAGATTGTTTTCAATGTATCCACTGGGTCATATGAACACAGTTCTTTAATTTAGCTAAGCTTGAACAGGGTGCATTGATTGTATGTATATCTTGTTTTTTCTTAATTATTGAAATTTGTACTGTACATTTCATATGTAATTTCATTTCTACATTTTACAATAACATATATTTAAAGGAATAGTCTTTTAGAAAGACCTTCACAAAATAAGTGAGCATTCTGAACTATCTACTTTGTTAATCTACATGTTTATATAATACATAAGGGTATAACAATGTTCTTCTATATTCATGTTTAAGGGAATGAAATTTCAAATTTCGATTCATAGGAAACATAACTTTTTTCTTTCAATCTTGCTGTGTAATTTGAAGAGCTGAGGGTCTCTATCCTATAATTTTTTAAAAAAGATTTATTTATTTGTTTGAAAGAGTTACACAGAGAGAGGAGAGGCAGAGAGAGAGAGAGAGAGAGGGAGAGAGAGAGAGAGGTCTTCCATCCAATGGTTCACTCCCCAATTGGCTGCAACAGGCAGAGTTGAGCTGACCCGAAGCTAGGAGCCAGGAGCTTCTTATGGGTTTCCCATGTGGGTGCAGGGGCCCAAGGAGTTGGGCCATCTTTTGCTTTCCCAGGCCATAGCAGAGAGCTGGATTGGAAGTGAAGCCGCCGGGTCTTGTACTGGTACCCATATGGAATGCAGGCACTTCAAGCTGGGGTGTTAACCTGCTACACCACAGTGCCGGCCCCTCTCTCCTTTATTTTTTAAAAGATTTATTAATTTAATTTGAAAGGCAGAATTACAGAGAGGAGAGACAGAAAACAGTCTTCCATTTGCTGGTTCACCTCACAAATGGCTACAATGGCTGACTGGGGCTGGGCCTGGCCAGAGCCAGGAGCCTAGAGCCACCTCTGGGTCTCCCACGTGGGTGCAGAGGTCCATGAACTTGGGCCACCCTCTGCTTTTCCAAGCACGTCAGCAGGGAGCTGGATGGGAAATGTAGTAGCCTGGACTCAGTGCTGCAGGTCGTGCTCTAATCTGTGGCCCCACAGCAATGAAACCCTTCCCCCACCCCACTCCCCACATATTCTAAAGAATCAAGAAAGAAATCTCTTTACACTGATTTATTTTTTTTTCTGGCTCTGCCAAAAATGAAAACAAAGCTCAAAAAAATCAAAATAAAAAGCTAACAAAAACAATATAAATGCATTTGATTTGCTAAATTTAACATAAAACTTTCATTTTAATCTATGAATTTTTACCTTTTTGCAATATTGAAATCTTTTCCATTACGTCAGATGCGACACTGGACTTACTGTTGTGTTGTGTCTGTTTGCTTATTCAGTATTCACCTATGTTGAGAAACCTAAGTGAATTGGTAAATGGATCAGTGGAGGTGATGTTTTGCAGTAGACTACTAG